TTATCTTGGCCTTACCGGAAATTCTAGTAGTTATATTATAGATACTTAATAGATATAACGTTTTTAATTATATAATAATAAATATATATAAATTTAGTAAGAAATCACTACTAATTCCAGGTTATAATACCTATAGTATTAAGAAATAGGCTATTATTTTGCTTTATATACTTTTGCTTTATAACTAGGGTATTTCCAGAGCATTTATCTCTAATTGTAATCCAAAATTTATATCCGACTTATAGAGAGTAATTTGGACTATAATAAATATAAAGTTACTATTTTCTATAGCTTAGTATCTATAATCTAATAGCTAATCCGAAATCAAGAACTAGTAAGTAGAAATTATAATCTAGTACCATATATACGAGTTCCCTAATTAAGTATAGTCTATAGAAGTAATCCCTTTATAAGCAGTATTTAATAATGCCCTTTTATATCCTATTAGCTATAGTCCAAACGAGATTATATAAGAATTAAAGGTAAATACTTTTCTATCTCTTCTAGTTCTAGATAATAATAGGATTCTAGAGATTATTAGGAATTTGAGGCATATTAATACCGAATTAGCTATTGAATTCGCTACTAATACGATAAAGGAATACTATAATTTATATTATACTCCCGTTAAATTAAATATTAGTAATATGGTATATCTTAAACTATATAAGGGATACTAATTACCCGGAAAACCGAATTATAAGATTTCTGAGTAGAGAATAGGCCCTTTTTATATTAGAAAGAGAATCGAGAAGCTAGTATATAAATTGGATCTGCCCCTTTATTAGAAGATCTATCCAGTAATCTCGATTATATACTTGGTACTAGTACTACTCGGTAATAATCTTTTTAAAAGACTACTCCCTAATATTAGGAGCCTTTTAAGAGTTAGAGTAATAATAATAAATGGAAAATATATAAGTTAGAATATATAATTAACCGATATACTATATAGTATAGCAGAAAGAATTATATTAAATATCTTATTAAGTTTAAAGATTACGGAAACTAGTATAATAACTAGTACTCTCTGGAACTTCTCTAAGATACCTATAAGCTTATTACGGAATATAAAGAAAAATTAGTAGCTTTACCGGTCCTATATTAAAGAGCTCGTACTTTAATACGGTATTTATAAGCTTCCTCTTATATAAGGGTTCGGTTCTACTAGTAGTATTAAAAGTATTATTAATACTCAAATTTACTACTACCTTAACTTATTAACCCTTAATTCGTTATATATATTATATCTACTAATAAATCTTTCCCTTATTTATATTTATAGTAATTATATTTACCTCTATATTATATATCTTATATCTTATATTATATTCGTACTATATAAGTACTTCTTACCGGTATAGTAGTATTTCAATTACTGGCTACAAGCTATTATAAGCCGAGAATAATAAGAACTACTTATATATATTAGAGATTAGTCTATATTCTAATAAATAATATCTTGAATACTTTAAAACCTATTAAACCTATAACCTATATATTTATTTATATCTTATTATTAATTACCTATATCTTCTCCCTAAACAGGACTACCTATAATATATTAATAACTAATCCGTTATTAATTCTACTAGAGCTATCCTATCTAATAAAGAACCTATTATAATAGGTAATAAAAGAAAGTATAGTTACCTCCCGGAAAGCAGGAAGGCAGTAAGTAAGGAACTACCTATAAAGAAAATAATAATTAATAATTCTAATAATTCCTCGGCTAATATCCTGCGAATTAAGGCCAATTCCAAAGGCAAAGCTAAGGAGATTAATATATCTTCTATAAAGAATAATAAAGCTATTAACCCTTAATATTCTTAGTATAGAGCCAAGAATACCAAGATAAAGTAATTATCTAATAAGTCCAATTATATCTAAGGAAAAGTACTACTAAAGAAGGGCCAATTAGCGGTACCTTTATAGAGCCATATATATTATTATATATTAGATATAATAAAGGCAGGCATATCTCTCTAGGAAGATAACCTTTATAAGCTTCGGAAATATATAGGCGGCGACTTTATAATATTATAAAAGCATAAGATAGCAAAATTCGATAAGAAATATAGTAAGAAGAAGTAAAAGACAAAGAAGCCTATTATAATTCTATCCGATTTATTATTCTCTGTATTATCTTCCAAATCGGATACCGAATTATCTATACTATCCCTATATAGGTATAGATACCTATTATTATTCAAGAAGCCAAAATATAAATAGTATAATAAGCCCTCTATTAATATACTTCTAATATTTAATAAAGTCCGAATAATTCTCGATTATTATAAAGGAACTCCTATCAAGAAAATTAAGTACTAATTTACTATATATCTACTATACCTATAGTATCTTATTACAAATTCGTTTTATTACGGATACGAGATATCTTCTCCTCTTATATCTTTAAGTACTATTACGGTATTTCATATATATATATTTTTCCTTTTACTATAATTACCTTTACTATTAATAAGATAAGTATATCTGGTTACATCTTCTATAAGCAATTAATAATCTCGGTACGATTATACGGGGACCACTAGTACTAATATTTCCATAATTGGCTGGGGCTAGGTGGTTATTTTACTGGGATTTCAGGTTATTTCCTTTGTCTTTAACTACTTTATTATATACGTTTTCCTTTCTCTTTATACTATCTATTAAGTACGTTTTCCTTTTCTTGTTTATTTATATAAGGATATATAAAGTTCTCAAGAGTGGCATTTGTTAGGCCAATGAGAGGTATATAATAATATAATTATAGTTACTAGAACTAGAATCCCTATAGAATTAATAGAATCATCTTTAAATATACTAATAATTCCCACATTTAAGATCTCAAAACAGAATAAGAAAATATTATTAAAAAGTAATAAGTTATATTTTATATATAAAGAAAATAATTTAAAGTATTTAATAAATAATATTTTATATATAAAGAAAGTAATTTAAAGTATTTAATAAATAATATTAATAATTATTAAAGAAAAGTAAGCCTTAAAATTAAGATTATTAGAAATTATTTTAAATACTTTATAAATACTATATTTATTAATTAATTATTATTTTATGAAATCGTTTTAATTTATATAAATAAAGTAAATACTAATTAATTAATTATTTATTAGTTATTAGATATATTAAAGCTTATTATATATAATTTAAAGTATTTAAGGTTTATATATAAAAGATATTTATTATTATATAATAGTAATATATTTAATATTATTTATATAACTTTAATTTAATATTAGTAATTAATATATATATAATAAGCTTTAAGTAATTACTTAAAGGCAATTAATTAATATAATAGATAATTAAATTATTCTCGTATTAAAAGAAAAAATAATTAAAGAAAAGTTAAGAAGTATTTATATTTTTCGAGAACTAATAAAGTTCTATTATTATATATTATAATATTTAATTATTATAAAACGGATTTTATTTCTTCTTTTAATACTTTAAAAGTTTAATTAATTATTATAAATTAACTTTATTTTTATTAAAGAAGTTAATATATATTTAATTATTAAGTTAGGTTTATTATATTCTTTTAATTATAAATAATATTATTCTTTAGATTTGCTTAAGTTTTCTGAAAAGTATATGAAATTAAAGTTTAATATTAAAGGTAGGAAAAGAAAAAAGTTAATTTATTAAAGTTTTTATTACTTAAAAATATATATATTTCTTTTATATAAAGACTTTAATATATAAAAGTTATTTATTTAAAAGAAATAATTAAAATTATTATATAAAGCTTAGTAGCTTAATATTTAGCTTATTTAAGAAGTTTATATAAATAATTTATTAAATTAAAGATTTATTAATAATAATAAGCTAATAGGCTTTATCTTAGGTAATATATAAAAATTGATGTATTAATAGAAAATCGATATATTAGAGATTAATAGTCTGTAGAATAACTAAATACAAGAGAATAAAGTCTAAAAACAGAGAAAAAGTATCTAAAGTAAGGGATTTATTCCCATTACCCTTCGGCAATACCAGTAATGCCGAGTCCGCTTTCTCCGATGTATTATTAATTAGCTGATAAATCAAAGGTAATCAAAATGACGATATATTAGTAAGCTTGGTAAGCTCGGCGAGTGACGCATGACAAATGAGAGTGGAGAACCCTAAATTAGTGGTTGAACCTGGTGCTGGAAGGACTGGTAAGCTAGCTATGGTAGCGTACCAATTTCAACAAATATAATGATATATTATATCGTTATTTTAATATAATTATCGTGACTCGGCAATTGAATATATAATATCTTTAAATCGACTCTCTTAGCTTGTGTCTTGATTGATACCAAACGAAATATGACGGAAACTTGAGGTTGAGACCTTTGCCTTCTAACAGGTTTCGTTTGACGTATTTGGTCTCGTCGGACTAGGCAGAATGTTTATATAATTTCAACCGTATTGACATTATATTCTACTTTGTTCGGCCACATTCACATCACCATAACACCGCCTTTCCTGAGCCGTTAAATGATAAAAACAGTCTCACCATGGTCTTTGAAATAAGTATCTCGACTATCTGTCCGCAAAATGAAGACTCCAATCCTTTGATACTCGGAATTGTTTTCTGAGGTTCTCTTGATAACCAAGCCGTGATCGTTGCTTTCATCATCCCATTCTTTATCTGTGCGAATGAGGAGTAGGTAAACAGGCTCAAGGGGGTCGGCAGTGTCAGAGGTATTGTCATCCAGGAATACACTGGGGAACGTATCCGTCGCTCTCGAGCCTTCGGCTAAGTCATCTGCTTCAAAATACCACGAATCTTCCGACTCAAAGAGGTTGTTCCATTCAGAAGAAATTTCAGAACAACCTGCTTCATCTTGACGAAAAACTCGACCCTTTGAAAGCAGTGACCGAATTTTTATTCTTCCCTCCGTTACTTGGCCAAAGGGATCATTCCCTTTTAAAACAGTGTCGGCTTCCAAGACCACAGCCTCATAGATCTCTTTTGATCCCTTGTTACCGACAAAATAGCTGGTTCTGCCGTTATGGCTTGCCCAGCTCCACGAAGGAGCTCGATATTCCTTCAGAAGAGGACGAGAAGTAAGGAAATTTTCTCCAGTCCAGAGTAAGCCGGACAGGAGCTGCTTCTTCCAGAGCCCCGCTAGATAGACATCTTGGTTAATGCATTGAAATTTCTTGGCAAGGCCGGACAGAGCAGGAAATATGTCTTTCTCCTGCGTCAGATAGCGTTTGGAGTATTCCCTGACAACTGTATTCCAAACATCGTAGCTTTGCCCCTTAGATAAAGATTCCAGTTTTCGACAGGAAGACAAGAGATCAGCCTCTTCGAGGATCGATTGACATTCGAAAGAGAGACTGTCATGACGATATGTCAATCTTCTAGGTGCGAGAAGATTTTCCTGCAAGGTCCAGCCTCGTGTTTTTAGAGGTGCTTTCTGGTCCCATATTCTAGTATCTCGTCCATGAAGAAAACCACATTCTGTGCTGTCAGCTGATTCGGCGACAATAGTGACCCAGGAATTCTTATACACAGATTGCATCCTCGAAGCTTCATATTCCCATTCTGTGGCCGAATCCTGGATGATACACAATGCGTCAACCCACAAGTACCGGCAAGACAGCTCCCGGCAAACCAGAATGGCGTCTCGGATTGTGGGAGGGGAGTCTGATAGAAGAATGCGGCGTTTTCGTTCCTCGATGTTCGAAGTAGTGGTTGTGAGAGCTTGTCCTAACCCCCAGCAATAACTTAGCGCCATGTATCGTTCAGATCCGCCGTTGGTCTCGAATAGCTTTGGTTCCTCAGATCCATCACAAGGACCAACATCCAGAACACGTGATGGAAGTTCAGCAGCTTGGTCCCGGGGACAATCTTCGTGCAAGTCCGAGCATTCATCAAGCCATGATCTTACAACAGGAAGATAGGCTTTCCAATCCACTTCATCTCGCTTCAGTGGCCCGAGTCGACCACTATCCCAAGCATAGGCGACCCATGGCAAATTAGGCTCGACATCTTTGCGAAACGAGATGGTGTACCCGCCGGCACGACAATGCGGGATTTGGGGCCATTTCATACCCGTCCGAATTGACGCCGGATCAGCAGACTCTGGCAGAAGGGATTCTTTCGCAAGAAGACCATGCTCGAAAGCTTCTCTAGTCTTTATATCCGACACGTATTTACGATATCTTGCTGCGGCTTCTTCGTCCTTGACCACAGGCTTGGTCGCCACTCCGATAATGGCAGAAGAAGCAAGATCAGTCATTGCAAGAGAGATGTTGAGCAAAGGATAGTAGGAAGGGTGTTAAGGTAGAAGCACAGAATATTTTAAATTGTCACATGTGGTGACTCGTGAGTGATTCGATGAATGTCGGCAGGCTACGCGGAAGACAGGAATGTAGTCAGAGAGAAAATGGACAGCGGCCAAAATTGCTACATGACCCCACAATAAAATGGCCCAATTAGACATCTGCATGCACCTTGCCACGATTCTTCGCGCCAACGCGCAATTTGTCGGTCTTACACAGCATCCCCTTATTTACAATCCTTCTCTATACACCCTAAGACTAGCAACTATTACCCTTAAATCATGCTATAAGACCGCTGACCAGAGGAAATTCTGCCACTCAAGTTAAAGTTAAGACTGGGGAGCCCCAGCCCTTATCTTATCATAAAACAGTATTTCTTTATTACGTTTAGCCAATAATAATCTTATATATAAATACTTTACTTAATTCAAATAAAATATACCAGTACTAATAAGTATTATACTAGCTTATTAATAAAAGCATTTTTATTTCTTTATATTTAAAACTTTATTAGTATATAAAAGAAAAGAAAAGAAATTTTTTAATAAAAAAAACACGTATTTTTATTTTTTATTTTTTACTAATTTACTAATTTACTAGAATATTTACTATTAAATAATAAGCAAATTGATTTTTCGAGAATAATATTAATTAATTTAGTTTTAATTAAGTTATATAATATATATATATAAAGCATAAATGATTAAATAAATAAGACTTTTATATTTATAAATAAAACTCTAATGTATTATAATATATATAACTTTAAATAATGTGACCGTTGGTGTCACATAGTTGGTTTCAGCTAAGGTTCCAAGCTATGGTTCAAACCAAGCTCGCTTCCAAAGCTCGGCGTTTCAGTGGTCTTGGCCATACCTACTTATCCACTGCCACACCTCACTCCTTTCCTCCTTAGCTTTAAATTCTCAAGACATAGGAAATCATTGATCTTTGAGCCTCGTTCCATTGCTCTGTTCCTGCCGTCACAAATAAGAAATTTCATATTATATTAACTAATTCTAATTTTATTATAAGCTAAAGACTTTTTATATAATTTTATATAAATTATATAAGTACTTAATTTTAAGCAATTAAATTTATATAATATTTTCTTTAAATATACTTCTTTAAAATTAACTTAAGTATAATTTAAATTAAATTATAAGAATATATAGTTTTAAATTACCAGCTCATTGCTAGAGATTCCCGATTTCTAGTCTTGATTGTGGATTGGGGCGAAGAGAGAAGCTCTTAGAATGAGTATATAGAGACTGCGTATAGGTCTTTGTGGGAAATGCTCACTCTTAGTCGCGAGTTTGGGAAGGGAGAAGGTCCAGATCAGTATCCGAGGGATCTGTGTGAGAAGATAGTTTAATCGCCTTAGAAGACTGAGTATAAGTTGGCACAGAGTGAGAGCTTTGATCCCAGCCATGAGTTGAGGAGAGAGGGTTCGGCTCCTGAGGCTAGTGTCTAGAAGGGGTTTGTCGTAAGAGAGGGTGAATTGAGCACAGTTTCGCTCTGAATTAAATCAAGTTTCTAGCATGCATGTGTTTTCTCATTCGTGAATAAAGTATCGTTGCTCATTGTTTATGAAGCTAAGTGGTCAAGTTCATTACGAACGCAGAATAGATACAAGAGGCCTTGTGGCCGAGCGACCTAGGTAATAAAGACAGCCCCCCTTCGAGGCTCAGCAACAATCACCTCAAATGAAATCATAGACAATCTGATTAAGCTTACAATCTCAAGTATTGAGTCGAAACGAAACATGGAAGAAGGCTCGCAAGCATAAAACCGAATAGATGACCTGCACCTAGTACCAGTGCCTAGAGGAGGAGGTGGGTCGAGGGTGGTGCAGGGATTGACTAATGGTTGAGAGCACCCGACCATGTCGAATAGCAGGTATGGGATCGTTATGAAGCAAAGAGAAGGTTCGAAAATGTTAAACCAAGCAGTGACTTGCACTTGGTGAACGAGTCCAGGGAAGGTGGAGATGGTTGAGATCATTGGATTGTGGTATAAGTTAGGGCGACCCAATGCTTCTACTTGGAGGAACCATCGACCTTGGCCTTGTCCACTATATACTGGATCTTGATCTTCAACTTATCCGGGTGGTAACTTTGATATAGATCTGTCAGGGAGGCCTTGAGCTTCTCCTCGTCGGCAGGGGTCTTATTTGGCTTCGCTATCAAGTCGTAAATGTTGAGGAGACATTTGAGAATCTTCTCTTCGTTCCCGAAGATGACAATGTCTCTGTCGAGTTCGTCCATCTCAGTTTGCGCTTCTGTATCTGGCTGAAGGCCTTCCGCGGCGGCTTCACGCTGCCTCGCTCCGAGGTCTACCTTGCCGACCCTTGCATTGTCCAGATCATTTTTCTTTTCTTCCCAGATACGTTTCAACTCCTTCCTCGTTTGGTCTTAATTATTGATCAGTCGTTGTGGGTGGAACGGTGGATATGACAGCTATCGTACCAAGAGAGAGGGTGCGGAAACCATATTGGTCGCTCATTGTGTTGTGAGATTTGGTAAGAACCAGAAGACAACTGAGGTTTGATCAGTAGCTTGAAGCTTATTCTGAGAGTGTGATCGTATACCTCTAACAAATGATACAGTTTTTAGTATACTGAGCTAGTTTGAAGCCTTTAGGGAACAGATTTCAATCTTCAGACTACCTAATGCGAGAATTATTTTCCACAAAAGCAGAGTTTTTTTCTTCTACCCAGACCGTTGCTTCCCGAAGACTTCTTAACCAACACAGAGCCTCGTTGGCCATTCCTTACTCCGAAAAAGGCCCCGCACTGAAAACACATTTTCCCGTCCTGTTTGCCGTGCTCGAGAACCTATGGGGCCAACCTACAATTGCTGGGGTTGCACAAATATTTGCGGTCAAGGGTCTCTTTGTGTCATATCTGATCATGAGGCCGGCATCTGGCCATATGGAGACGGTGGCGCTTGTCAAGGTTGCCTCTCGTTGCTTTTTCTCGGACAGACTTGGAAGGCAGCGTCAAGGCGACGGTGATTGTTGCTAGCAACCTAGATCGGACCAGGGAAATGCGGCTTACGGTTTCTTCAGCTGGAGCGCCAAAAGAGGGGTCACTTCTCTCCCAAACGACCACAGCCAAACATCCTCAACGCCAACCGGGCGAGAACGGAACTCAGAGGTCGAAGTGAAACATGCGGAGCGATTCAATTGGAAGGTGCGATGTTGGATGGCACACAAAAGCATCAACATCCACAATCTCCAAGTGGTTTGGGCTCCCAAATCACTCTCAAATTCCATTGAGATCATGGCTTGCCAGCTTGACCGAAGATATAGACCCTTGAGGCCCACCATTTATTGTTCGAAGGGTCTCCTCGTCGATCGTCGGGGCTGGAAACAAGGACTCGAGAGGAGGGTCGATTTGTCAGCTCTCTCGAAGCAACGACGCTCGGCTTTCGCAAGTCAAGGACTGCCGAGGGATCAAGAAGAAACTCACCGCCATCGATCTTTGCATGGTTTTCCAGGTGCACCAGTGTGCGAATGAATTTCCGTTCAAAAGACAGTGTTAACATGGCTTGGACTTTGGGTACATCGCATTCTTTTTCAACGATAGATATTTCTAAGGTATTGAAGCCTTGAATAACGAACACTATCCCGTCTTAGTCGCAGACCTCGGTATGAGGCGTGCTGAAGTAATGAGCGAAAGATTTGAATAATCGAGCGGTGTTAAGACACTCACCTTTCATTCCTCCGAGACTTGTGGAGATCATTGCATTGAACTTCCGAGCGCTGTGTAGGGTATGTCGTTTCGTTTATTTGGATTGCGATTCGAAAATGTATTTTACCAGCTGTTTCAGCCCCAGTAGCAGTCGCGGTCTCTTATATGACATCGAGCGATTTTTAGCAAGGCATCCAATGATCGTTGATGGACACGGCGATTGGTCTCCTCATCTCAGAGCCTCTTCACCTTTTTGTTTTGGGTGTCGTGCATGAGCCTGCATCTGCACTACTCCCTTTTGTTCTGAACATTCTATCCCCACGACGCCGCGGTTCAGCGACTGGCTGGCCGCCCGCAGTGCCAGCGCATCAATAATAACAGAATCGGGAGCTCCTATTCGAATGTAGCAACCTTCTTCTGATTCCAAATGCTTGGGAATATATCGAGCCTATTCTGCGTTGATGACTCCAGAACCTTGCTTCTGTTTCTGCGATCGTGAAGTATTTGCGAATTATCCAGACTGCGGCTACGTCGGCATGAAATTCCCGGATAGTTCAATGTTCACAAAGCCTGTTTGGTCATTTCTAGGTCGTTATACATATCCTGCGGTATGATTTTCTACAGTGCACTGCTTTATCGTGATTATTAAGAGCGTCAAATGAGACCGAGTAGGGACCCGGGGTACCCACACTTGATGCATGGAGGCGTATCCTCATCATATCCGCTTTGTTTTATTCGACGAATTTCAGCCCCAGCAATACAACTTACGTGAATGGCTAGCTTAATGCAAGTTTGAAGCCTTGAATCATGACCAATTTTAAAACTATGTTCTAGTTTGTTTTTCTTGAAGTGAAAGCCGGGTTGTGTTAAAGCACCACACAAAGTTGAACAGTTGAATGATTTGAAATCAATCAAACGCTTACTAAATTAGCAATATTTGACTTCAATATTTTCGCAAAATATCGTGTAAGTATAGTTATGAGCTATCAAATGTTCGCACATGTAAATGCAAAGCCACATTAGAAAATACAGGCTGACGATTCTCTCAGTTTCTCGCATCACGACTGCTAGTCGGTAAGACGGCTTTCTCACTTCATGCGCATGTGCGGGGTATCTCTGCCAATGAAGAATCTACAACTGGCACTCCTCGTCTTGATGGAGAGCATTGCATATAGGCAGCAAGAGGGCTGAGGCTCCGGCAATGGAACAGTCGTAAGACCGACCATCAATCGCCGGGGTTTTCCAGATGGTGGCGTTCCCGCCCCATATTGACTCAACATCCCATTATTTCGAATCCCGTACTTCGATATTCTCCAGCACTCATTCACCCTTTCATTAACCCTTATTTAAATCAACGATGTCAACCTACGCAGAGAGTACGGGGCCTTTGTTACATTCTTCAACACGTAGCTCATATACACCGTCTAGCCCTTCGCTTTCAGAATCTGGTACAGCGGTTGAATCGATTGCGCGAAGCCCATCAACTAAATGTGACGTCTTGCCTCAGTGCGGCCAGGTTTTCGACCGCCATGACAGGCAAAATCCGGAGAAAAACCTGGGGTTCCCATGCCACGGTTGGCCTGCTCTTGTTAAATTAATGGCTGAAAGTCCCGGTTTTGAGTCTTTTCAAGTATTCAGAGACCTCAATATCAAAAGTTTGCTCTACTATCAAGCTGAACTGGTTAGTTTGAGGGAAAAGCTCCATGAGGTTGAGTGGAAGGACCACCGCAGTGGCGATTTCCAATTTTCGGACGAGCTCTGCGCAAGAGTAGACTTCCTGATATCGACCGATAGTGGGACTCTGAAAGCGAAGACCCAGTTAACTTTGGTGAGGAAGATGCGGAAAGTGTTGAAAGAATATAGTAGGATTCCCACTTGCGAGTGTCACGGCACATGCTAATACTAGCGCGTTACCTCCACAGATGAAGCACTATTGCTGTATGCAAAAATCAACGGGCTCCTAGAGGCTGATGAATTCAATGTCAACAGTCTCCGCACATGGATCGGGGAGTAGAAGTTGGGAGACTTCAACGTGCGAGGCCCTGGCCAAAAGAGCTGGGGTGACCCAGCCGCACCCGATCCGCATAAGAGGACTATCGGAGAGAACTTCGTACATTTCTTACGGAGTGTGAGCATCTTCTGGGTGGAACAGCCCAAGAAGAATCACCCGGACCTTGTTGTCCCCTACCCTCGTAAAGAGACCGACGGACTCACCCGATGGGTAGCCCATGATTGGATCCCCTTTTGGCATAGCTTCAAAGATAAATTTCGAAGGAACGGAGTACTCCCCACAACTTCCCCAGCTAGTGACGACGAGAAAAGACGGCCTTCAGATACGTCTAGTGCGCCCACTCTTTCACAGCGGTTGTCGAACGTGAACATATTCGGATGGATGTCTCCACGAGATCGCAATGGTGGAAGGATTCCTGATGAACGACCAACTCTCGAAAAATATCAGATCAGTGGTATGCTCAAATTTACATCTTTCGTCACAACTATTGCCGCTTGTCTACTTCCCATTGTCGCCATAGCAGTACTTGCAACCATCAACAACGACCAGGCTAAAACGATCGGTTTCATTGCACTCTTTACCGGAGTTTTTGCAATTGGTCTCATGGTACTTACACCTTCAGCTACTTCGAGGACAGAGATCTTTACTGCTACTGCCGCGTAAGTTTTCGAGGAAGAGTTGTGTGTTTTGTGAGACGTTACTAACCTTTGCGCAGGTTTTCGGCGGTTCTAGTGGTGTTTGTGCAGAATCAGGGTGCGTAAGGGGTATTGGGTGGGGGACTGGTCCTCATTGATTTTTATGCTACTGTGATAATAATGATGATGTGTGACGGGTTGCTTAACGCGAATGTCGGTTGGTACTTTAGGCCTCTCGCTGTTTTCCCATGTTACCTTTTTATCTACATACTTCAATGTTGATATTCATGCTCCAAAGCACTTCATTACGTCACATGTTGTTCTGTTCTTACTACTCAACTTGAAAAGTGTGTTTTTAATATGTGATAACTGTAATTTAGCGATAAACCCCTATAGTTTTAGCGAGAATATTTTTAATTTGGCGCATTGCAAGCTAGCCCCAGAGTTTGACCAGTCCACTGTTCGGAAACGTCAGGAAGTGATAATTTTAGGATTCACATAAATTTATGCATGCACATAGATAATTGAGTTAAATTTGCTTGTTTATCGAATTTGTGTGCTGGGGAAATTGTGTTGGTAGCTGCCACCTCCATCTGATCCATCCCATCTGTCAATACGAGCGGTTTAGGAATCGGGCGCTACGATTAATCAATCGGCCTTCCGATTAATTAATAGGAAATGGAATACGATTCGCAAGCCATAGTGGGTCCTGATTAATTAATTAGTGGGCCAATTAATTAATCGTATAATATTGGGATTTCGGGCCTAAGGAGGCTGAAATCCTTTAGTTCTCAGTATATAATAATATATCCTTAAGACTAATAGCTAAAACCCTTTAGTTCTTAGTATATAATAAGAGTAAAGATACTTCTCTAGAGCTTCTAGATATATATAGGGCTTTTGCTCCCTTTTTATTATCTAAATATAGTTTATAGTATATAGTTTATTATATAAGTATTAGCTTTTTAAGCAAAACTACTAATTTTATATATTTCTTAATTATTATCTTATTTCTATTATATTTCTTTTAATTCTTTATTTATTTCTAGCCCCTTATATATCTCGTAAATATACCTATAGCCGAGCAGAGTAATATTTTAATATTATTATATCAGGAGTATATTTCTCTAGTATTTAGATCTTATTCTCTTCTATTACTAAGGAGTCTACTAATAATTAGTCTACTAAAGACAAAGCTATATAAGTAGTAGTAAAAAAATTCTTATTACTAGGAAATATATAAATATTAGATAGTAGTTATAAAATTCTAATATTTTATTTCCTAGTAAAATAAAAGCAGTGAATATTACTAGACTAATATTAAATATAAATTCTAATTATACAAGCTTTAGAATAATTAGATATATTATAAGAAATATTATAATACTTATTATAATAAGATTCTTCTAGCTTATTATACTTTTTACTATAATAATATCTTTAAGATTTTAACTATTATTTATAAAAAATTAATATATATAAGTAAATTTTCCTGAAATATACTAATTCTTATATTAATTACTTATATAATAGCTCCTAATATTATATTTGAGTATATAAGACAAATTTAATATAGCCTATCCTATAATAACTATATTTAAATAAGTATTTATTCTATTTACTATAATAAGGAAAAATTTAGAAGAATAATAAGGAGATTATATCTATTTAATTTTATTATTTTAGTAAGTATATAGTTTTGAATTTAATAGATTTTCATATAAGTATCCCATAAGTTATATAATTTATTTTTATATTTTTATATTTTTTATATTTCCTATATTTCCTATATTTCCTATATTTCCTATATTTCCTATATTTCCTATATTTTTAAGCTTTTCTTATAATTTTTATAATTTCTGTAATTTTCGTAAATTTTAAATCTTTTTATTTATATTTTATTAATATTATAGTATTACTATTATTAATACTATTATAATATAATCCGAATAAAGAATATATATAAATCTAGTAATTAAAATACTACTTTTCCAAGTTTGTCTAAATCTATAGGTTTAAGGCTAAGACTATAAATAAAGCTATAGATAAGCTTATTAAATAGCTAAATAATAATAGATATATTTCTATTCTAGCCTATAATAATAGAGGGAAGTTTAAGAGAAAAATAATTAAAATTTATAAGAAAAGAGAAATAAAGATTATTTATAGATAAACTTATTATCCTGAATTTTAGGGCTTTATTAAAATAGCTAATTGAATTTTCAAGAAATAGCTATAAGCCATATAAGTAAATATTAGTATCTAATTATAAATATAATTATTTCTTTTAATTATATAAGTAATTAATATTATAGCTATAGGGGCCTTTTTTAAGGGAAATATACTATATAAAAGCTATTTACTAATTTCCTAAATTATAAGGAAAGTACTTACTATATATATATAGTTCTAAAAGATATAGAGAGAGGAAAAGAGATTAAGAATAATAAGAATAATAGTTCTAAGAATAGAAAGAATAGCTTATTTATTAATAAAGAAATAGATTAAAAAGAAATAGCTAAAAAAATAATTTTATCTAAATTAACTAAGAGAATTATAGAATATATAAGAGAATAAAGAGAGAATATAATAAAGAGAGCTAATTTTAAAGCTCTTAAATATAATATTTAAGAGATTATAATTCTCTAGATTCTAAAGTAATATAGATTTAATATAGAAATAGCTAGGATTCTTATAAGAGTTCTAGAAAAAACTTTAAAAATATATAATTTATAAGCCTTACTTTTAATAAAAGCTAATTAAAATAGGGCTATTATCTAATTACTAAATATAATAAGCTTATTATTTTCTAGTTATATAGTACCCTTAATAAAATTACCTTTTAATTAATTTATCCTGATTTATTTACTACTGGTATAACCTATAAGAGAAATAAAATCACCTTTCCTAAAGCGGTAGTAAAAAAGAATAATCGTAGTTCAATTATATTAGTTTAGAGGACTAGAAAAGTATCTGAGAAAATAAAGAAGAAAATAGCTAAGGAGTAAGTATATAAGAATAGAGCTAGAGAAAGAGGAGAATCAGGTAATTAAGTAGAGGAGAGAGTACTAAAAAGAGCTAGAATAGCTATGGAAGTACCTAGATATAGTGGGAGGCATATATAATAAAGCTTGATTTAGATGAAGTATTCTATATACTATTTTACTATTCCCGAGACCTCAATATTACCCGATTAGGTAATCGGAACCCACTGTGGCTTGCGAATCGTATTCCATTTCCTATTGATTAATCGGAAGGCCGATTGATTAATCGCAGCGCCCGGTTCCTAAACCGCTCGTATTGATAGATGGGATGGAACACATCCCACTTCCATACTAATCCCAATTTGGGATAAGCCTGGAATAGGAAGCGTGCACCAGTCCAATGCCGGACTCCCTACACTCAAACACGAAGTCGACTGCAGGCTTTTGACGGGCGCTAGTTTCAGACGGCTACCTGGAGGCTGGGGATTTATGCTTGAGGGTGCAATTTCCGATATTAGGAATTGTATCCTCAGTTGCAAGGTTTCAATTTATAGTCCTAGGTGACCCTTTAGACTTAGGGGCTGGGCTAATTAAACCTCTATATTAAATGCAGAATCAACTTTCTAGAAACCCAAATACCGTTTTGAAAAATGGGATTAAGGGAAAAAACAGCCGTTAATAGATAAATCCCTTATAGCTAATATAAGTAAAGGTTTAGTAAATTAAGGGTTTAATATATATAACTTAAAGCATTTAAGGCTTATATATATAAGTTACTTATTACTATAAAATATTAATTAATTCAGTATTATTTACATGGCTTATATTACTACCCACGTGACTTCTATTTAATACTAATACTCTAGCTTTACTATTATATAATACAAATGCATTTAATTTCCGAGTATATTTATAATAGCGGGATTAATATAATAGTTAAAGGCTTAAAGTTTAAAGAATCTCATATATTAGAAAATACTAAGCTATAGAATAAAGTAGAGAGAATGCCTCGACTTTTAGTATTATTCTGCCCAAATAATTCCGGCTTAGCTTCGTTTTGTGCCTGTTTCTGATATCCTGTTCTTAGCAGATTATGTCCTTATACCAGCTATTACAACATTTACCTAATTTAAACTACTATATTACTCGTATTCCTAAAATACTATTTGCTAGTAAATATAAATCTATAAATAAATATAATAGTTATAACAGTTATATAGCGATATTTCAGTTAGGAGCAAGATATGAAGGGAGGTTAACGCTAGCGGCGTGATCCGGGAGATGCGCTGGTTAAAATTTTGTCCCCGTGACTGTGGCGGGCATTAAATCCGGGCACACTGTTGTGGGGTCTATAGAATGGGAAATAGCAACTTTAAGCTTCGTCTTAGGTATTTTGTATACTGATTTCAAATGATTATTTACTTTGTTTACGTCTTTATTTACATGAGACCTGGTGATCACAAAGGATTTTCTGCGGTCTTTTTTTTAGCAAGGCCTCTGTATGTGGCTTGCGCACACCATAAAATCTGCAGTGTCCGTCTATCAGGCACATTCGCGGGGTTTGAGCACGACTGACAAAACAAAACAAGTCAAGGCATCAGCCAGTTTCCGCATTCATAATCACAGTACAATTCTACCTAGAATGTACCAAAATACACCAAAAGTTCCAGGCACACCTACTGAAAACACGAAAAATAGACGACTGCCTATAGATAAGGGACTCGAGCCGCTCGCAGTGACGGGTGGACTGCTTGTGCAAGGCACTACAGCAACTGGGACGGTCATTGTTACAACGGCAATAAAGCAGTTACTGCCACTGGTAACAGAAGAGGAATCTCTGGCGCTGAGATTAAAGGAGTATGTTGGAGTTGCGCCGGTATTGCTGTCGATTGATAATGTCTGGTTGGCTAGGTTCGAATTTGAGGCAATGGTTGAAGACCCTGCTGGTGGGAGAGAAGATACAGTTGTGGACGTTACTGTAGCAGGCGATAGTGTTGTACTGTATGAAGAGGAGTTTGCGTAAATGAAGGGCGTGGGGAAAGATCCCAGGGCGGTAGGACATAACGTCATTGTAATAGTTGTCACTCGTTCGCCCGTTGGGTAAATACCCTGCGTCGTAGGTGTCACTGTTGTGCCACACGGAAACGCCTGCGTGTTTGTAGAATCCGAGACTAGAATATCTTTGATCTCCTCATAAAAAGGTTTTCCGTCTTCCTCAACATTTTGCTCAGAGTGTCCTGCGTCAAAAATCATGACTCCGCCGAAATAGGGATTGCAGAAATGGGCCTTGATTAATGGTGCTACCTCTGATGCAGGATTAAGATAGTCTCCTGAGAGGCCAGCACTAGTAGATCCCAGCAGGCCAATGTAAACCCTGGTGTCTTTACTCTTCGACCCTGGTAAGGAGGTAACCAAGGCGTCGAAATTTTTCTTGAAACCACTCGAGTTCTCCATGTTGGTTGAAATACCAAATCCCGGGTTGCTGCTCACCCATTCGCGGGCCGAGCACTGTGGCGTATTGTAATATTGAACGAAGAGTATATCAAATTGGACTTGGTTGATTATATCGCCCATCTGCTGGTCTGGGAAGAGGCATTGTGGAGCACCCGTGATTAAATATTGCTTGTCCGCAGTGTCGAAATAGCTACGAAGTCGGGTAATTAGAATGATATAATACTCTTGCTCGCCTGGCACATCGCGTTGGTCAGCATTCTGGAGCAGCCATGTATGTTCTTCTTACCGGGATTTACGTGCTCAATATCGAAATCAAAGCCATCAACCTCGTTAACTACCCCTTCAGTATCAAATGGGCGTGACCAATTCGCTGAAGGATTCAGCGGTCCAAAGGCGCCCCATAAGAAGTCGGCCATGTACTCGGCATCTTCAACGCTGGTGAGCGCGTAAGAATTCTCTGTGACCACCTGGCCGCCTAAAGACAGCAGGATCTTCTTTCCCAAAGACTGGCAATGTGGAATTCCAGAAACCATAGTTGGGCATTTCTTTTGAAGATCATTCAGTGCAGGGTCATTTACGCCATTATATCCAGGTGCGGTAAAGTTTTCTGCAAAACAAGAGCCTCCAAAGTTCGTCCCAGGGTACCCATTAGCTTGCGCTAGGTAGCGGTTCATGAACCCGAGAGGGATGATGTCAACACCATTGCTTTCACAGAAATGGGCGAGTCCAAGCTCATTTTCACCAGGTCCTTGGCCCTGGAATCCTCGTCAGCTTCATGTTCATCGGACGGGAGTGATTCGCTCTACCCACATAGTACATGGCAATATTCGTGTTCGACGACGCATCATAACCAGAAGTTAAACAGGTGAAAACCAACAGAGAAAGTATTAAATGTTCCAGGCATCTTAGGGAGGGCATAATGAACAATATTGAAAGTTGAAGTTAGAGGTGCCTGCATCTTCGCCGTTTCAAAAGCAGTGGAGGCAGAGCTGATAAAAAAAGAGCAGAGAGCAGACGGGTGAATCTTCGAAAATGCCACTATCGTGCGTCAGGACTTGCACCAAAGCCCCCACGTCCCGACGGGTTTGGTGCGTATTAGCGACACGGGGTAAATTTTTTTTTTTATAGCCATGCGGTCCTTCTTTTGTAATAATCACTACAAATTCACAAAATAATCGTAAGAAGCCAAAATTACCTAATCCTCGGGCGTACACTAGTAAACCTTATTTTTATGAAATCCTGTGTTGCATTGAAAATTCTGAACATTTTTTGTTAGAGAAAAAAAGTGATCGTATCGCCGATTTTCGGTCGTATCGCTAATCTGCACTAATATGCTAGCTAGCGGTTTATATTGGCCCACAGCTACTTGTCGACCCCTGCTCGAAGTTTCACACTCTCCCAATTTCAGTTTTGGGAGATTTATAGCTCTTCTTATTAATATACAACCTCACCGACCTTTGCATAGGAGCCGTCTAATTGAGCGACATATCTGGCGGCATTCTAGGCACGATTCCCACCGCGGGAGAACTTATCCTTTAGAGTCGCCACGCGGAGGTTACTATAAAAGGTATGATAAACACAGGTATTGGCCTGGTAATACCCCATAAGGCCCTATAAACGCATACGCTAGATCGCTATCAGTCTATTAAGAGGCTGTAGCTTTCGGGTTTATCTATAAACAGTCTGGGTTACGGCGCACCAAGTGCCATAGTTGCCCTGTTAGCTGCGTAGCTAATCGGCAACTCTAGTGGATGAACGCCATGCTCTTTCACCCGAGCAAAGAACGGATGCAAAAGTCGCGAGACTATTCCCTCTACCGCCACCAGACGCGCACTTGACTCGACGATTTCACTTGAGTCTAACCTCCTAAATTTCTCCTGGAAGCATTCGTGGAGAATAATATATTAACTTTCCGCTGCCCTTTTATTATGCTGAGTTTAACGACCTTTTTGACTTTTGGTGCACGTGCGCTTTTAGTGAAGTGCGCCCATGCACAGCAACCAAAGGGGACTGATAGGCTGTTTTAATGCACGTAGGCCTGAAATTTAGGGGACTGAGTCTGAAGTCTTATTTGAGCCGCCCTGTATGTACAAGACTTCGGCGTTTACCGTTATCGGCCATTTAGCGGGCTTATAGCGCTCGAGCCCCACGGTCTCGCAACTCTTTTCATCTATACTTTTGTAGAAACTTTCTGTAAACTTTATTTAAACATTCAACAAAATGCATGCTGCAGGGGTTCTAACAGCCACAGGAAACTTAAAGGACGACCAAAGGGGTGGTTCAGGCCCAGAAAATGAATAACGTCGCGTGGTAACATTTAAGCTTTCGCAAGGAAGTTTTCTGTTATGAAAGGGTACAGAAAAGAAACAGAAGGTGAGCCGAGAGTAACTAGCGCCGAGTGGAAGCGGCCAGGCTTACTGACTGGCCCTGGGACAAAGAAGAAAGAAAATCTTGTGTTTATAAGAAAAACCCTAATAGAAGAAATTGAGAAACAGCGCTATTTAACATCAGAAATCGTTTGAGTTGTAAGCTTGTGTCGGAAATCTTGGCTGGTGTATTGACTAGTCGCAAGACCGACTAGCATGAGGGACATTTGTTTATCTAAGCACCAAAGGTAGGGATCTGAGGTCATATTAAGGCTTTCGGGTAGAACTCTAATAGTGCCCTTCGGAGATATAAAGTTTACAAAGGATAAGGAAGAGTCAAGGAGGACCCCAATTTTCGGCCCGAATTTAACCACGGGATCCACCTCCTGGGGGTATCCTAGGGCTAAGGCCCATCGCGCATTTGACAATTTCCTATTCCAGCTATAACATGGTTTGAGCTTGTGTTATACTTCCCCCTCGGCCAAACAGAGGTTTACTGGATCCCAGTAGGTTCTACGCTAGGAAGTGGTGGTCCACCAATAAACTTGAATTGCGCGTGCGCTGCTTTGACAGCCCCCATTTTCTACTGCAGCGCAGAATCTCCACGTGGAGACCACATTTCCACTCCCCGTTCCCGAGAAACCAAGAGAATCAGAGCTTACAAGCAATCAGAGACTCCGTTTCCAACCTCTTTTCTTTGACGCCAATCTTCCTATTCGACCACATGATAACAGACGGACAACTAGACGGGGGTGGATGGCCTGGGCGTTAATCGTTTAATCAGGCTACAAGAGCGGTGAACCCAAGTTCACCGCTCTTATCCCTTCGTCCGGCGAGACATAGTCCACGCTAGCAAGGGGGCCTGGCTCAGACTGTAAAGTCGTACCTTTGCTAATAAGCTTATTAGTCATCTATCACTTTTTCGCCCTGAGCCAGGCCCCCTTGCTAGCGTGGACTATGTCTCGCCGGACGAAGGGATACCCAATTGGTTCTGGTTGAGCCGAGCGTACGCCTCGCATTCAGCCACCATGTGCCAACAAGCGACAGGCTTATCTCCCTATACTCAGGGCCTCATGTTTAACTCTTCCCTCCCATACCAATTTGCTCACCGCTCATTCATTCGTCTCCCTCGCCAGAAGCTATCTCAGATAGTATATACACACATTCTTGCTCCACAATAGCAGTCGGCTATGAAAAGAACAAATTGTGAATTCTATAGAGCGAGTCAAGTCCCCGAGCTGCGTCCGGGGTACCTCCGTTCAGAATCTCCAGTTGCAAGCAACTTTACGGCCCGCGAGTTAGTGTCCATTTGGATTGAGAACTAGTCCCTCATTAATCCCTTTTAGGGATGCTAAAATTATATAATTTAGGACTTGAATACGTAATATCGTAAAATAATCACTCCGACTTGATTATGGTGATATTATCTTGCATATGAGACATAGCCAATCAGAAGCCTCCATTTGACTAGCGCGGTTTCGTGCTCCTCCCCAATAATCAAATCCACTAATTTACCCTTTTCCACGTGCCGAATTATGCACGGTTTATACGCTCTTTTATGCAGTATTTTATGCATTATAATATTGGCGACTTGATTATTATATAATTACGCCGGACTTGATTATTATATAATTGTAATAATTATAAATCGTGCATCCCTAATCCCTTTTCCTCGTCATGGGGTTGATGTGAGCCGTCAATCGTAGCATCGTGCCCACCGTTCAATATCCAAAGGGACAGAGCGGCGAAAACGCCAGCGTCGACCAAGTCACCAAATGTGACAGGAATAATAGATTTGTAGATGAACTAGAAAGTGCTCTTAAACATGGAGCTCTTAAGCTTGTCTGTACCATACTTGGCAGCTTGCTTACAGGGACCTACATTCACCCGCACGTAGATAGATTATAGCTAGCTTTACTCACGTGCACGCTCCCGTACTTGGCTCTATATCACATGAATATTAAAAGAAAGGATATACTTCTTGAGCAGCTGTAAGAGTAAGAGAAGGACGCGCTTCTTATATATATACCAGGGGCTGAAAATCTAGCCAAAAGGAAAGCATTTTTTTATAATAAAATTATAAGAATTAGATTATTTAAGAGCGGGGAAAGAGTACTCAAAGAGAACAAATTCTTAATTATATAAGCACTCTCATATGACAACCCTAGGAGAGTACTAACTAGTATGTATATAAAAGAGATTTAAGGTCTAGCTATATACGAAAATTACTACCCTCTATACTTTGAGCAAATAAATCTGGTTTAGAGATACTACGCGAGCTGACACGAGTTAAACATGGATTTAACAGGCGCATACTCCTTTTGGATCTATTTCGCTAATGCCAAACTTTTGTACCGTGAAATATTTCAATCAGAATCAAAACTCGAATCCGGTCGCTCCTGCCCATTTCAGCTAGCGTCAATGCAAAAGAACGTGCAAAATTCGCAATCAAATACTGATACCCCAAGGCACCAAAAGCCCGCACAGGAAAGGACACAGCATAGACCTTGGGTAGTGCCAGTGTGTCAAATAATTAGATTAGATTAGATTAATAGCCATTAATCTAATCTAATTAATATATATGTAATCCTATATATAACCGTACTAGCCTAATCTAGTAATGCTCCTGCCCGCTCTAGCTCTAGTACTATATTAATTAGGGGTAGTAATACTTAGTAAGTAACCCGAAGATAAATTAAAAAAGGAGAAATATAAGAGAATAACTAGTTTATTATTATTAAAAGCTAGTATATAGCTACTATTATATAAGCCCTAGCTTAGTCTAAATAAGGCTACCTAACAAGTGCCTTAGTTATTTAATACTTATTAAGTAAATAGTAACTTATTATAATTATATAATAAATTAATTATTAGATTAATTATTCTAATCTGAATTATATTAATTAATTAATATAATAAATTCTTTAATATATTATTAAATATATATTTTCTAGTATTATTATTAGGAAATAGTCTAAACTCAGTTTAGTCTAATCTAATTAATTAGAACTAAGGTTTAGGGCCCCGGATTATAATCTAAACCGTAGTTTAATTTTAATCTAAAAGAGAAAGCTTATTTAATTTATAAGAGAATTATTCTTAATATTCTATTTATTAAAATACTTAATTATTAATATATTAAAATAAATTTTAAATTAAAAAATAAGTTAGACCTAGGGCTTTAGAATAAATTAATTTATTAATTTTTCTATTAGGTAATTATAGTTTTATTATATAATATTAAAAAGCGAGTTCTAGAACTAATTTACTAATATTTTATATAAAGAACTAAGCGAAATTAGTACTTTCTTTTTACTTGAAAAAAATCTTCTTTTCTCTTTATATTATAACTAATTTAACTCTAATTATATTTCTTAAATATTAAATATAGCTTTTTTTTAAGAAAGCTATATTTCCTAATATTTCTTAAAATAAAATAAATCTTTGCTCTTAAGATATATTAAATTCTATAACTTTCTCTAAATTCTCTAATATATTTATTTTTCTTTTAAAGAAATAAAATAAAAAAACTCTAAGAAATTTATAGGTTTATAAATAAATAATATATATTTCTAAATATTTAGGAAAAAAGAAATAATATTTTTAATTCTATTTAGCTAATTATAATATTAATAAAAAAAATAGATACAATATTTAATTATTTAAAGCTATATAATATTATAAAGAATTTTATTTAAAATATTAAAGCAAAAAACATTTAAATTAATATTAAAAAAATTATTTAATTTATAATAGAGAATTCCTAAAAGTATTAAAAACTAACTAATTTTAATAATAGAAGCCTTTTTTTAAATAAAGATATTATTAAAACTCTTTATATTAAATTTATTTTTACTTATAATATATTATTATAATTAGTTAAATATTTCAAATTCCGAGCCTTTCTTTATTACTTAAATAAGAATATTAATTACTAGCTTTTTTCTATATATAAAATAATTTATAATTAGATATTTTATTAATTTAAAATTAAGAAAAATAAGATTAAGCTATAGCTTAAAAATATAAAAATTAAAATATATTTATTTTTAAGTATATAAATATTTCTAAATAATAAGCTAATTCTTAATATTATTATTTATTATATATTAAATTTAGGGATTCTAAAATAAGTTATATTAGTTATAAAAAAGATTAAAAATAATTATAAGAAGAAAAATCTTATATTAGTATTTATAAATATAATTTATAATTAGAAAATTATATATAAGCTTAATTATATTATTATAAATGACATAAATAATAGTAATATAATATTATAAGCTTTTTTAACTAATATATATTTTATATAGTAATTTTATAAATATTAGCTAATTTAGCTAAAATTATTTATAATTCTATTACTAAAAAAGAACATATAGAAATATTAAATATATATTAAGAATTTGAGTACTCGGGATACTATCTTTTATAGAAAAGAGGGAAAGAGAGGAAAAGAGAGCTATATATATAGGGGCAGTAGACAGCCGAGAGCACGTGACCCAACCACGTGAGTATTACCTGATTTCCTATTATATTACTTAAAAACTTTACTATTAAGGCTATATAATTAACTTATTTATTAACTCCTTTATTTATATTACTAATAAAGAGAATTTAGAAAAAGATAAAAGAGCCTAAAAAGCTTTATAATATTATAATAAATATATAATATTATAATAAATATATAATATTATAATAAATATATAATATTATAATAAATATATAATATTATAATATTATAATAAATATATAATATTATAATAAATATATAATATTATAATAAATATATAATATTATAATAAATATATAATATTATAATAAATATATAAAATAATACTTAAAAATATTAGAGTTTATAGTATTAAATAAGCAGAATTACTCTATATAAAATAATAAGATAAAATGGAACTTTATTACTTATATAATTAAGATAATAATTACTTTTCTTATTTATAAAGCTATTAATTCCTATATTAAATTCTATATTAAATTCTATTAAATAAAAGAAATTAGTAAAAACGAGTTTTCTAATAAGAACTAGGCTATATTATATAATATTTGCGATTTCCTTAATAAATTAGCTTAAACTATATTTATATTTAATAATATTTTATTTATAATAGATTTTATTTTTAAGTAATTTAAATAATATAAGAAATAATATAAGAAAAATAAAATATTAATATTAATATATAATTCAAATTAGACTAAGATAAAGAAGTATTATAATATAAGCGAAAAAAGTTCTATTTATATTATTATACTTATTTTAGACCCTAATTTAAAATAGAAATATATTAAGTCTAATTAGAAGAAAAAATAGGTTATATGAATATAAATTATAATAAATAGCCTCTGGAATAACTATAAACCTGGTTTTTAACTTTTTTTAATAACTAGTATACTAGTATTAGAAGTCTCTAGTAAAAATGCCTTCTTATAGTAAAAGAAGTATTATTAAATAATAACAAATTCTGAAAAGAAATATAAGAGATATTATATCTTTGAGTATATATACGAGATTAATCCGAGATTATAATAGTTTAAAAAAACTTAATAAATAAGCTATTCTAATCTTAGTTATCTAATATTAGATATTTTAAGTATTTCTATTATATTAGCTAATCCAGAATATCTGTTTTCTTGCATAAAGTTACTAATTTCGTACTTGCGAAATAAGCTTAATATAGATATTATTAAGGCTTTTAAATACTTGAATTTATAATATAAGATTAAAGGATAGAAAGGAGAATTTAAGTACTTGGAGGAAGTTATTAGAGCTAAGGTTAAGAAAATGGAAGTAGATTACGTATAGACTAAGTAAACCGCAGTCTAGACTATAGTCTAAAAGATATAATTATAGTCTAGTCTAGTCCCGAATACCCTCAGTTTAGTCTATTAAAATCAGACCGTAGTTTGAAAAAAAATTCCCAGACTATGGTCTCAGACCACAGTCTAGACTATGCCCTACCCTGCGCAGAAACTCCGTGGACCCGTAATTTGGGACCAGGACTCGAGCCTATACTTATGCCACAGCGAAACCCTTCTCGGCCGGGATGTTTAGTATATCCGTCCAGTATGTTAGAAACCATGCGAAGAACAAACAACCACACATGTTAAATATATAACTTTCTAAGAGCTTGCGTACAATTTCAAGAACACCGGTATTTCATTATAAAGTTGTGTATATCATAACAAACTTCTCAGCGTGGACGAGCTCGGTGTTAGTGATAGTAATCAGGACAAATCTGCTAGGGAATCACGTACGCTAGGGAATCTCGCTTAGCCTTACTCAGATAGCAACTTCTCGCTAGACAGAATTCATCAAGCTTCACAACACACTCAAGATTTCAGAGCTTGCCCAGCAAAATTCCAGACAGAAGACCGAGGCTCCTAACAATGTTGCTATAGAGGGATTCGACTCGCAGAAACCGACGACTCCGCTGGCGACGATAATGTGAAGAGGCCACCCATGCCAGCGAACACACCTGATGGCCATTAGAATAAACCTTTCGCGCATAAAGTTTTTAGGGGCTCCAAACTTGCCACCCGGCAATGATTTAACAGCCATCTCCGGCCAATGCAACTTTGCCTTCGCAACGGCCGCACGCATACGTAGAATCCCAATATTCTGTGCGGAATGCTTGTTAAGTTTCTCCAAGCGCGAAGAGTCGCGCAAGAATTGGAGGTTTGTTAAGAGGTTGCGACGAATTTCTAACTCGGTTTCTGATTTTTGAAGTCGAGTATTCCAGAATGGCGCGAAAGTTTGAAATTTTAGACCAATGGTGGAGACATTAATAACATTGAAAGCACAGGAAGGCCATATTTTACCGCTCAGACGTTCACATAAGTGGAGAACAAAATAGAGGTCGCCAATGCAATCCGATCAAGAAAGTGTTGATTAAGTATGCCAAGCGAACTTGGCGTATCATCAAGTTCCAATTCCGACCACGGATTGAGAGATAACACTCGATGTTCAGGGAGGTTCGGCGCCGGGATTAAATTCTTTCTAACAGAGCGACGATACCGTACTACTAGGATGTAATCAGTTTCAAAGAGGATCTTGCGTGGCAGTAAGTTTTCTTCAGGGGCTTAGACCGCCTCAACAGACTTGGCGAAAGACATTAGTCGTACCATGCTGACGTTCATGCTAAAACCCTATGTTCGTACGACATCGGGCTTTGGTGTATGAAAGGGAAGCTGAAAACCAGGGCGTACTAGATGATAGAAGATTGTTGGCTAAGCTTTGCTTCTGCGATCGTCAGGACACATTTTGCACCACCCTTTTCGGTTCTGCTCTCTTGGAAGAAAACACTATTATTCTAGGTTTCGATTCCAGTTCTTGTGCCATGGTCCCAAACATCCCGCTCGTATTCAGTTAAAATCCTTCCCAATAATGTTTCCCATCAATTCCGAGACATGTGAATAATCAATCGGAATATCCACAATACTAACTCCCCTGTAGGCCAACGCCTCCTTCATCACGCGCTCCAGATCCTCGGCTTTCTCGACCCGAAATCCCTTGGCCCCGAACGCTTCGGCAAATTTGACGAAGTCCACACCACCAAGCTCAATACCTGCTGTGCGTCCGTATTTGGCCTCTTCCTGAAATGCAACCATGTTGAAGGTGCCATCATTCCAGATGAAATGCGTGATATCGCACTCTTGCTGCACAGCAGTCGAAAGTTCTTGTGAGGTGAACATAAAGCCACCATCACCAGACATGCTGATGACTTTCTCTCGTTTGGTGGGATCGCTGGGGGACTGAATAAGCGAGGCGGCGATTGCCCAAGGAAGAGCTATGATGAAGTCAGTATGTGCCGCCGTTCAAGGTCGTGAAGATTGAAGAAAGGGAGCCGAACCAACTCCAAGAGTTTGTTGACCATTCGAAACCAAGAAGTGCCGTGGTAAATAGGAGAAGAAGTAACGCGACATGTAGATATAGACTGTTCCAACATCACAGCACACCACGGTGGTGTCGAGGACTAGGCTCTGCAGAGTCGATATGAGATGTAATGGGTGTACGAGTACACTATTCGCCGTTGGAGTAACATAGGTTGTCTTTTTCCAGGCGTGGAATTCGGTGGATATTGCAGAACAGATATCGTGGCTGGCTGTCTTCGTTTTCGCTTTCAGTTGGGCTGTCAGAGAATCAAGAGTAGACCCGATACGACCAACCAGTTCGAGTTCTGGTTGGTAGTAATAGGTGTAATCGCTGCTCTTAACATCCAAGTGGACAATATTCATGCTTCCATTGACGTTCCATGACGCAGGGTCATACTCTGTGGGATCGTACCCAACTGTAATGACCAAGTCAGACTTGGCTAGCAGCCGGTCTCCAGGCTGGTTACGGAAAAGGCCAAGCCGCCCAAAGTAGAGGTGCTCCAGGTCGCGGGAGATACAACCAGCTGCTTGGAATGTCTCTAAGACAGGAATTGGGTGCTTTTTGAGGAGTATGTGGATACTCGAAACTGTGGCGGGATCACTCGCACGCATCCCTAGAAGTAGGACCGGGAGTTTGGCAGACTCAATCAAAACCACGAGGTTGGCTATCAAATCGGGTGGTGCAGACCCGTAGACTGGAGGTTTGAATGCTTTGTTAGGGAATGCTTGAAACCTGGTTGAGTATGCGCTCATGATGTCGAGTGGAAGAGCAATAGCTGACACTCCTTGAGGAAATGTCCCCGCTGTTCTAAATGCATCGAGGATGATGTCGGCAACCTGGTCTTGGTGATCGATGGCCTGCGTCTTCTTGGCGATAGGGGCGATAACTTCCATCAGATGCATGGACTGGTGCGTTCTTGCTGCGGACATACTTCGAGGTACTGACCCTACCAATGCTACAACCGGATCTCCTTCCGTGTTGGCTGTCGCAAGAGCAGTGACCAAATTGGTTCCACCAGGACCAGATGTTGCAACACAGACTCCTGGAACACCCGTCAATCGTCCGATGGCAGCGGCGATGAATGCAGCGTTTTGCTCATGACGACAAACGATGAGTCTGATTTCAGGATGATCCAGTAGCTCATTGAAAAGGGCGTCGATTTTCGCACCTGGAATTCCGAAGACCATCTTGACGCCAGCATTGATGAGAGACTGGACGACGATCTTAGCTGGCTTTGTTGTTGTGATTTCCGACATGGCGATGATCGAGCAGAGATACGTCTGTTAAGTTTCGCTACTTGGCCAAATTCAATAGAAGATTGGCGAGGAATTTCCCGTGATTTTTCGGTCTGTAAAGTTAGAACTTTGGAGATGCAAACGGAGAGGCAGCATACCACGAATGTAAGTTCTTATAGTTTCGAAGTCTCAGTCGGAATCTATCTCTATTCCTGCTCTTCCGCTGATCTCTGCACGAGTTGCACTTCGTCGGGAAATATATTTGTGCAGGTTTGCAGTAGTTCAAATCCGCTTTTGGTTTTGTGGATTGTGCTGCTGACAGTATGACGATGTTCTTACTCAGTAGTATGCATAAGTAGCGGGGAGCTTGGCGATACCGGATTTACCGTTCTTTCCTTAAATTCCTAAGACTGCAAGCGTTTCTAGCTGGCAACGAGATGAGAACCCATACCGATTGATGGTGGTGTTCTACGAAGCAACAGTATCACAACTGAGGCCTTTCTCTCTCCGTCTCGTCTCAACTCACAATCCCGAGCCCCTGAATCTGGGATAAAAGAGTCAAAATATTCTCATTCTGGTCCTTGGAAGCATTTGTTCTGTGTTGAAAGCACATAATTTCAAATGATGGCAAATAACGAGATATACCAGTTCTCTGTCATGTCGGCCCTAATGTCGGGCTTGGCTTCCCCAGCATCATCAATTTCTGTCTCCGAGCTTCTCACACATGGCGATTTCGGCGTTGGTACCTTCGAAGGAATGGACGGTGAAATGGTCGTCACCGACTCCAAGGGATACCAATTTCGAGGCGATGGAAGCACCCACGAGGTGTCCCCGGACCAGCTGGCGCCGTTCGCAATGGTGTCCCGATTCGTTCCGCAAATCACCAAGACCATCAATCCCATAACGAAAGCGACTCTGCAGGAAGAAATTGAGCGCACATTTCCCGAGGCGAAGAATGCCTTTGTGTTGTTCAAGGTCCATGGGAAATTTGAGAGAATCAAGATCAGGGCGATTCATGCACAAAGCTATCCCGGACAACCGCTGACCCAACTCACGGAAAATCAAATGATCAAGGAGTTTCATTCTGTAAATGGAACAATTGTGGGATTACGAAGTCCCGGGTGGAGTGTTGGCGTATCGGTCGTGGGAGTTCATGCGCACTTCATTGATGAAGAGAGGAAGTCGGGTGGTCATATTCTTGAGTTGTGCGCTGAAGAGGATGTCCTGTTGGAGCTTGCCGTGAGCAACTCATTCCATTTGCACTTACCTAAGAGTAGTGAGTTTGGGGCGAGGGAATTAGAGTTGGATGAGGCCGGCATCAATAAAGCAGAGGGTTAAAGTAGTTCATCTTTACGAGGCCGATGGCTGGGAAGCATTCCGAATTCAGCCCGGAAACTCTGCATTCAGCAGGAGATGTTCGGCATTCACCACTCCAGTAATAGGAGCATCACTAGAAGATGTATTTGTGGGGTGCAGCATGTCATCACATGTCACGTCACCGAAGTCTCAAGGTGTCGGATTTTCTGCTGCGCCGCATGGCAGTTCAAATTGATCATACCACCTTTTCTTCTGAGGACCCAAATCTCACCTCATGGTTTCTCCCAGTTCACAATTAATATCCGTATTTGAGAAATTGCATATTTTCATTATCTAATATTCTTTTGTGTTCCGCCGAAGCATCTTTCTACAATATCCCAATCCACTTCGGGCGGAACCTTAAGGTCCTCTAACACGACAATGCCTCTGCTCTCAAATGCAAAAAGCAAACCTATTGAATATTCAACTCGACCATTAGGCAGTGTGCTTAAAACCTAATTCTCGTCCCACGCTCCACTAACTGACGTTTTCATCTGACTGTTACCACAGACTCCTCATCCCAGCACTCCTGCTCTCCAAAATCCCCCAATATTTCCGTCTTATCCTCCACGGTCCGTGCATAACATCACCGTGGTACATTACCCTGCTGCTTTTATTCAGTGCCATCCAAGTCATCAGCCGCATCTACTCCCCGCATATCAATACTTGCCTGCTCTTGGAACGCGATGATAGACAATGCTCTTTCTGGATTTACCCTCACTCCTCGACTACACCCTCATGGCAACTCAGTGGCTTTGCACCTTTTTTCATATGTATTGGCCGTTCTCCCTTCCGGATCTTACATTTCTAATCGACAGCAAGAGTTATTACCAGTATGATTTTATTTCTCGCCACTCGCACCAAAGACCCCATTCCATCCTCTTTCCGAGTAGTCGTCCCAGGATACTCAATTCAAACTTATGTTATACCGCTCATCACACTTCGCCCCTCCCTCCTTCTGTTCTGCAACTCAACATCCATGCTCCTGGCCCGGGAAATCGATCCAGATCTAAACTTCGCACTGTCAATCACCCAATTAATTTCTCAACTCATCGCCATCATACGCACCAAGTCTGGGTCGGGACTTAGTATCCTATCGTTCGGACTGCAAATTCCGACGTTGTTTCTACTTTCTCTGGCAGTGGGAGTGGGGCTTAGCAAAGATTTTAGGAGGGACACAGAGTGAAGAGGTCTCGGGATATGGGAACCTAACCTTGATTTACATATGGCCAGCGAAGATCCAATTGCGATTGAAAAATACTACTATTTGGTATCTTGGTAGCGGGAATGCTGCTGTTGGAAATGCTGTGGTAGCGGCCGGACAGGCTGCGCTGTTTGTTTTGTGCTTGTTATATAGGCATAGCGTTAGTGTTGAGACCGAAATAACTTGTCACTCTAGGTGGATGGGGAGGAATATAATCGCTTGTTAAGCGAACAAAAAGGGGGCAGATCCAGCCACCTGTAAGTTGGCCGACGCACCGAATCGCATCCTATGTAGACAAGAAACCAAGAGAGGGGAATTTTTTGAGATTTCTCGTCGATAAGAACGAAGACACGTGGCTTCAACATAGCATTCCCGAATTCCCATGACGCAGCCCCACCTCTGACAACGAATGACGTACGTAAGTTTAGTCAAAAGGCCCCTCCTCATGCCCGGAGCTTTGCTCCGTCGAAGCTCCATCTCTTCCACCTTGGGACGCAAACATACAGTCCTATGAAAGGCAAGAAGGAAGCAAGCATCCTCCTTCAACCGCTGTCATCTACGGGACCACCTCACTCTAGTTTCTAGGCGCAGGGTAGGGTTCGGTATCCATCGGAGCCCCACGTCATGCCGCGGTCCATCTCATCAGATCAGGAACCACTTTGGTAACAGCTATACTATTATTGGCTACAAAGTATTGAATATTTGGGTATTGATTCTAAAGAGGTTGTGGAACTTGTGACAGTACAGGCATTGTTGGGTGCAAGTTCGGGAAAGAGGTGTGGGGTTACAGGGATAGCTGCGTTTTGAGGTACGTCAACAAGCGAACGTTGCTCAAAACATCAACGTCATGAGATATTCGCGAGTTCAAGTAGGCCCTTGATCTCCTCTCTGTCCGAACGGTCTATACCCCCTAGCCTGATACTTTTGAACTTGTCACATTTCACAGTTTTGCGTTCTGTGATCCACATCTTCCACGCCTTTCCTTGAACTACTCGGAAAAGCAGGCGAGTTCGTTACAGGAGCAATGGCATCGAATCAAAAGTCTGCCGACATGGCTCCAGAAATCCGTGAGCCCAGCTCCTCCGTCCCTCTCACAAGTGATTTCGGCGCCAAGAGCACAAACCACGACATCTGGCTTTCCGCCTCGACAGGTGAGCGCAAAGGTCCTGCTCTTCTAGAAGACAACTTTGGGCGGGAGAAGGCAAGACTTTCCAATCCGGGCAAGTCTGCGGTCTGCGGTCTGAGCTAACGGAACCCCAGATCATGAAATTCGACCATGAACGTATCCCAGAGCGAGTCGTGCATGCACGTGGTGCTGGAGCCTTCGGCACGTTCAAGCTGTATGAGAGTGCAGCAGACGTCACCAGTGCGGGTGTTCTCACGGATACTTCTCGAACCACGCCCGTCTTCGTGCGCTTTTCGACCGTGTTGGGATCCCGTGGGAGTGCGGATACCGTGAGAGACGTTCGGGGATTCGCAGTCAAGTTCTATACTGAGGAGGGAAACTGGGATATTGTTGGGAACGATATCCCCGTTTTCTTCATTCAGGACGCTATGAAGTTTCCGGACGTTATTCATGCTGGGAGTGAGTTCCGACCATCTCCACTCGAGGAGGCCTTAACTGATATTTGCAGAGCCGGAGCCGGATAAAGAAGTCCCACAAGCTCAATCCGCGCACAACAATTTCTGGGACTTCCAATTCCTGCACACGGAAGCGACGCATATGTTCATGTGGGCCATGTCTGACCGTGGAATTCCACGATCTTACCGCATGATGCAAGGATTCGGCGTGAACACCTACACGCTGACCAAGAACGACGGCGGCGAGAGACACTTCGTCAAATTCCACTTCACGCCCACACTCGGGGTCCATTCTCTCGTCTGGGACGAAGCCCTGAAGCTCGCTGGCCAGGATCCTGACTTCCACCGCAAAGACCTCTACACCGCGATTGACATGGGCGTCTACCCGACCTGGAAATTCGGCATCCAAATTTGTCCCGAGAGCCGCCAAGACGAATTCGACTTCGACATCCTCGACGCCACGAAAGTCTGGCCAGAAGAATTGCTTCCCGTCCGATACATCGGAGAGTTGCAACTCAACAAGAACGTCGACGAGTACTTCACGCAGACCGAACAAGCTGCCTTCTGCACCGCACATGTCGTTCCCGGTATCGGGTTCTCGGATGATCCGCTCTTACAGGGGAGGAACTTCTCCTACTTCGATACTCAGCTCTCGCGCCTCGGCGTCAACTGGCAAGAGCTGCCTGTAAACCGGCCCGTCTGCCCCGTCATGAACAATCACCGCGACGGGCAGCTCCAGCACAAGATAACCAGGGGTTCCATCAACTACTGGCCGAACCGGAAATCCGTGATCCCACCAGCCAAGCCAGAAGAAGGCGGCTACCTCGACTACCCCGAGAAAGTCGTTGCAATGAAGCAACGTCTGCATTCGGTGAAGTTCTCGGAGCATTTCTCACAAGCACAACTCTTTTGGAATAGCATGAGTGAGATTGAGAAAAGCCATATAATTGCCGCGCTGGGCTTTGAGCTCGATCATTGTGACGACCCGGTTGTATATGAAAGGATGGTGACTCGGCTCTGCGATATCTCACTGGAGCTCGCTCAAGCTGTTGCCGAGAAAGCCGGCTCTCCGACACCTACGAAGACTGCCAATGAAAATCACGGCTTGACTGCCAAGGGCCTCTCGCAGCTCGATTTTACCCCTGAAGCCATGGGTCTTCCTGCCACTATCGCGAGCCGCATGATTGCGATCATCATAGGCGATGGTTTCAACTTTGCTGAGTACGAGGCTGTGAAAGCTGCATTGAGCGCGGCGGGTGCGTTCGTGTTTACCATTGGGCCCAAGAGACAGCCAGTCAAGTCCTCGACCGGTCAGAGCGTGGCTCCAGATCATCATTTCGAGGGGATGCGGAGCACGATGTTTGATTCTCTCTACATACCAGGCGGAGAACATGTCGCTTCTCTAATGAAGGAGGGACGAGTGATCCACTGGGTGAGAGAGGCGTTTGGACATTGCAAGGCTATCGGTGCCACCGGGGAAGGAGTGGCACTTGTGAAGATGGCATGCGAAATTGAGGGAATGACCTTCAGTGCTGGGGCCAGTGGAGAGGTCGTGGATAGTTATGGTGTTGTTACTGCTGCGGGGATAGGAACGCCGGCTGGAATTACGGAGGGATTGAGGATGGTGAAGGGGGCAAAGACGTTCTTGGAAGCTTACGCCTTTAATATTTCCCAGCATCGAAATTTCAAGCGTGAGCTGGACGGATTAACGAGTATGGTTGCTTACTAGCCGGACTGCTTGGAATCTTGCCAAAGAAATAATCAATGTTAAGCTTATGTTAAAAACTAATCGCGAGGAGTTTGGAGAAGCAATTAAATAGAAAAATTTACGAAAGACCTAGATTTTAGTAAAGTTATATACGCAAACCGAGGTGGTTTTGCAATCTTGTGATTTTGGTGTTCTGGTGCTCGAGTGCTCGAGTGTTTTGACCCTTCACCGCCTAAAATCCTGCCCTATATGAGAAGCGTCTTTGTTTATTTGCGCACAGCTAACACCGCGTCGTGATAGCGTAGCACTCGCTAAAGCAGCCTATAAGTCCCTGTGGTTTTAGCGACCTACTCCCCGCACTACAAGGGCATGCCCTGTAATCTCCAGACTTTTGACCTCGGTCTTCGTATTTTGTGGTGGATTGTGCTTAGATGAATGTACGTGGTAATAATGTTTTGGAATGGAAATGCGGGCTAATCATCCTATCCAGCTCCGTTATCCGATTTATCTATGGCAGAAGATAATGCAGATTTATATACAGGGGTTACCGTGCAGTGAGGGATATATACATCCATTTCTCTGGGCAAGACACCCTTTACAGGTCCATTCCCAAGTCCAGCTCCGAAATCGTGTCAGGAAGCAGCATATAGCTTTGCTCGGCCGCCAATGCATCTTCGTTCTCATCCTCGGCCCCATCCTGCACCTTCAGCGTCATCCAAATAGCCGCCAGCGCCGCAATGCCACCCGCACGCAGAACCCAGCCAGTGCTCCTGCTTTTACCCCCGCCATCGGCACCAAGTAGCCAGAAAATAGCGCTGCTACCCACGGCCGCAATGAGTTGCGGGGCTGCAATTGACATGTTGTGGATTCCCATGACGATGCCGGGTTGGGTCACGTAGCTCGTGGGCGTATCTGTTGTGAGGTCCCTAGTGGCGCGGTAGGTGGTCTGGTGCCACGAGAGGATAAGGCTGATGAGGGTGAAAGGCACAAACTGCGACGGCGCGGCACTGATGCCTACGAACCCAACAAGGATGGTGGCGCCTACGACGCTGCTAACGAGGAGCGTGCTGAACATGCAGGCTGCGAAAATGGCGTGCGAGAGCATCCAAAGGGCACATAGTGAGGACCATGGGGTATGGAGCTGCCGAGATAGGAATCGGGATAGTGCTGTTTTAGCGATGGTTGGATTTGACAGGCCCAATTGATGCTTGGTGATTAGAGAGGGGGCTACCACGCTGGTAAGTAGTTGAGCAAATGCGAACATGAGCAGTGCGAGCGAGCCATGTCGATTTGCGCTCTTTTGGGCCTCTACGAGGTCCACAGGCTGGATGTTCTGTAAGTCTGCTTCTTGTAAGTGCGGATTCACTAAGATGATGGGGTTATTAGAATTCCTTACAGATTTCTCCAATGTATCTATTACCGGTTCAGGTCAATGATGATGCTTACGTAGAGGGAGGATTCGAAATATGGCTTACGTCGTTATGTAGTACATGAATGAGAACCATCCGATCCACGAGCAGAGCTGCGCCTTACAGACCATCGCCACCAGTGGCGGAATTTTGAAAATACTGCCGTATATGTGCTTAATTTTTCCAATTATACTCTTAAGCTCCACGCTTGGTGGCCCATCCTGATTTGGGTCCCGTTCCCGTATCGTAGAGCAGCACACACAAACCGTGAAGGCTAAGCTCCATGTTGCGAGCACGCAAAGGGCCTTGAATTGTGTATGTCCGCCTTCAGTATGCATCAGGAGAGAGATATCCACGAAGCCAGAACCATAGCCGAGTAGACTCCCAATGCTAATCATGCGACTAGCCCATGCGTTGGCACTATCAATCTGCTCCGGCGGGCAGCTCTCGACAATAAGAGCACGGAGCCCGCATTGAAGAGGCTGTGTTGCGAAATTCAAGATCCAAACGAAAATAGCTGCGGATATCATCGTGATCGTTTGCAGGATGCGATGATCCTGCCTTGAGCCCACAATCCATGAAACCGTATACACGATGTCCCCGGCCCATGCCAGCGCAAGTAGAGAACAAATAATGACCAAGGCACCACCCGCAATGAAAGCTTTTCGCTTGCCCCAGGTAATACGACATTGGTCGCTGCACAGGCCAAAATATGGTTGTCCAAGAACACCGGTAAGTGGACCAGCAATCCAGACGACGGCCGTTAGAGGTTTGCTGAAACCCAGGGACATGAGGTACGGCTGTTTTTTTTCAGTCAGCGTGGAGTTGGATGGAAGATGGGGAAATTTACCGATCCCATAGCCATTTGCACTGAGAACACTGCTTGCAAACTACATTTGCCATGATCAGTAGAGTTATGGGAGAGAAGGTCGGCGCTGCAGAGGCTTACCTACCCTCCAAGACTCCCGGTCAGGGCCAGGAAGAACAATATCTTCTTCGCTCCTCGCAGGGGCGGAGGGGCGAAATGCGAATACATTAAAAATACAGAGGCCGTGTGCTAGTTTGGATATTTGCGTTCAAAAACAGAGGCATGAAAGATGAACGGCGCTGCTGATATATCGAAGTAGGTGGAAGATGTGAGCTAGCTTGAGGTGTAAGAGCACAGCTCAAGAGCGCTATGGTGCGCTGAACTAAGAGTATTGCAGTTTTTTGCCCTATCAATGCTCCAGGATGTATTCCACTTGTCGCGCGAACTGGCTTTTTCGGTCCAGCATTCATCCATACTAAGGGGCGTTTCTAGCTTGGTTTTGCTCTCGGAACGAACCCCAGCTTAGCTCGGAAATCGAGGTATACACTTGGAATTCATAGCGATTGCCACTCTAGCGGCCTGGATTATCCGGAAATATAGTAGACATGGTTAGGGGTTAGGGGCCATGCATGTAATCGTGCCTCAGGACTTGCACAAAAGCCCCTACGTCCTGCGAGTTTGATACGCACTAAGCCCTCAGGGACGTAGGGGCTTTTGTGCAAGTCCTGAGACACGATTAATGTCTAGCCTGATAGTCGGACTCGGAAGTTTATGCGGAAATTCAACACGCCACATTTTACCAGGTCCACAGTCAAGCCTTCGGATGCTATTATTGCATCCGATTATATGGCGGCGGCTCTGTCGTTTCATGCGTAGAGGCTATTAAGTAATGGTCTACCATTGCTTCACCATTGGCCTCTCTTGTCGCTGAAAGTGAGCCGATACCTAATGGAATATATTACTAAGGCATTCGCAGAACAAACTTCAGATCGCTACAACTGCCATATTTCAAGCACATCTTTTCCTTTGCTTAAGCAGCTCGCCATGCAGAAGTGGAAGCATGAGCATGTTTATCAGAGAATCGGGGACGAGGAGTCAACCGATGGATTCCCATTAGGAAAGGAGGGACGGAAGATTTTTCTAGGAATCAAAACTTGGTCTCTGGTCTCGGCAGTCGTTGCTGCTGGATTGATGGCAGCATGCATCACCGGCATTGTCTGGTGGCCTGCTCTGATTCAAGCTGCTCAACCATTCCCATCGCTCCGGTCATTCAGCCCATCCGGTTCACCCACACCACTCCGAACATCACGGCACCTACGACCACTCCCCTTGTTCTAAATCAAAGGTCGATACTGTCGCTAGTTGCGGAAGCACGATCAAGGAAGCGAAAGCGCTGAATTGCACATGGGATTTGCTGGCAGCGTCCTGACTTCCCCCAGCGTGCATAGACAAGGAACTCACGGATGACTTTCGAGCCCAAGGACCTTGGAAGTTATTTGCCGACCGTAATGAGACAGGAGAATTGCTTGAAGAGGAGTTGTAGTACCGTGTCGGAGAAGGCAAGGAATTCTTCACCTCGCTCAAGTACCACAGGACGCATTGTTCGTACCAGTGGGGGAAAATGCACCGGGCGATGCAGATGGGCAAAAAGACTGAGAACAAGCTGGCAGACTACCACCACATAGTGCGCTGTGGCTATGTGAACATGCAAGAGGGGGATATGGAGGGCTTTTTGACAAAGATTACGGTGGAGATCATGACTTGCCGAAGGGCCGACATTATATTTCGCAAAGGCATGGGGCGAGGATATCTTTGCAACACATATTTTGTAGCAGAAGCATATTTTGTTCTCTGTTTGCTATAAGTTACACCATTTCTCTGCTGATAGAGCCTCAGAGTCATAATGTATTCTTGGCTACCATGACCCCTTGTTCGTACCCTACTTTAGCCGTGATACCAAAAAAACGCTACGAAAACTACAGGAAATCAACAGGAAATCAACATAGCAAATTGGCCACTATTTTTCAGAACCACCGGTGGTGCGACTTGCGCAGACAAGTCGCCAATAAGCTCCACACTACCACACTTTGGGTGGCCTCGGGAAGGTGCGATCTTGGTATTTAGCGCAGGCGAGGAACGGGCAATTCACCGGCTCCAGCAAGCAATCGGGGGGAGGGGAGGTAAATTTATGCAGCCTATTATCCACTACCATCCGCCCTAACTCTTCCGCCCCTCGCATAACAAGGGAATACTGCCTATCGCATGCGGAAGGGGATCTTTCTTCACCTCACCGACAGGAGCCCGGTCCGTTAACGGCGTCACTTTTGAGCTCGGACCGAGTGGGTTGGAGAGTGGGCTGGATTGACATGCCTTTTACGGAATTTGCGGAAAATGACTACAGTCTCCTCCTTACGCATTGGGCAACAATGGATCCGGGTGTTGTGGGGATTCTGAGTCTAAGGGGAGCTTGCTCGGGAAACAGTTCTCTATTTTATTATCCGCTTTAACTCTTTAACAATTAGCCTACCTCATATCTCTTTGTTATAAACACTCAACGGCACACCCATAACATCTGCCTGAATACTCAACGCAACAAACCTCGAAAAATACCGGGACTGGCTCTGATCACCTCCAACATACCACATTCCCTTCTCTATCCCTTCATCAGCCCTTTTCTTCTCCCACATCACTCGGGACGGGTTGCTCATAGAAAAATAAAAGGGAACTTACGTCCACAAGGCCTAAACGCCCCCTTAATCTCCCCTTCCCCACCCACGCCCCAATAATCACCCATCCTCTCCGCGATCTCGGGAGAGAACAGCGAGGATACCTGAGTCTTCATGTTGAGCAAGAAACCGGTTGCAAAAAGGATCACATCTCCCTTGAGCTGAGATCCGTCCGCGAATTCTAGACCATCCTCCAGATACCTGACGGGAAGAGAGTCGGATTTGATTTTGATCTCCCCATTGGTGATTTTAGCACATGAGCCAACATCAACGCAATGTCCGCCAAAGCGTCCCAAGACGTACTCGGCTATGCTTCCGTCCCGTTCAAGCTTAAAGCCCGCTTTCTCGAGGGCGTCGAAACGCTCTGGCTCCATCGAGGCACGGTAGCCGCAGGCCGCTCTCTGGAGCTGGCCGATGACGGCGCACGGCAGGGACCAGAAAGCTTGGTCAGAGAGGAAGGTGGGGATCTGGGCGCTGTAGGTTTGAGAGAGGACTCCGCGGATGTATTCTGCTGGGAGGACATCTATTCCGTTTTAGTCAATCCAAGTGGGTATGAGAACGAAGAGATGGGGGAGAGTACAGGTTGGAGAACGCTGCACCATCGTCACGGAAGCGAGGCCTGCGGCGAGCATGTCTTCAGCTACATCATGGGCTGTGTTCGCAGTTCCGATAATAACACCATGCTTCCCTTTCCAAACCTCCGGATTTCTGTAATCCACTGAGTGGATGGTTTCGCCTTTGAATATTTCCTATCATCGCCGTAAGTTGCTGTGGAGAAAGTCAATGGTGCACGTACTCTGTCCAGATATTCCGGCATCTTCGGAATCTGGCCGCCTCCTCCTACAGCCATGACAACATGAGAACAAGTTATTTGTCTGCTATCGATACCTTGCAGGATCTTCAATGTCCACTCTTTTGTAGAGGGATTCCATTCGCCATTTTCGAGCCTGGTGTTCGTCCGTACGTTCTCCAGGCGTTAGTCGAATGCTCCACTGCCTTGTGGGATCGAGTCTTACGATGTTATATTTCTCAACCCAGTTTTGGTATCCTTGGGCTATGATATTCTTTGGGAGGTATTCGGGACATCCCGGTCCAAAGGTTCGTTCGAATGGAAGATGGGCTTTACGCATCAGCCTTCTTCAACCACCTCTCCCTCATCCTTCACTTACCAGTTTCTCTGGGCAAATGCACTACAACCCATCAGTCTTCAGCCCACTTTGACAGATTTCGAGCTTACATTTAGCAGAATCATACCTCATCCTCCAATTATCTCCCACCTCAGGTACTTCTCCAGAACAACATAACTCAGTCCCAACGCCTCCAGTCTCCCAGCAACGCTCAAGCCAGACAGCCCAGCGCCAACGACCACACAATCAAAATGGCTGCTGTGCATGTTATCTCCAGCGTCCACCCTTTTATCCTTCACTTCAAGAAAGTCAGCACTGCCACCACCCCTGAGCCCCACAAGAACAGTGCGCAGCAACCAGATCCTCCACTCCCCATCATCGTCTCGTACCAACGCAACAATTGCCTGACACTTCCTCTCCGCGATCTCAAAACTGAAGGTGGCTTGAACCCAGGCTGTGGGTCCTGCGCGGAAGATTTGGGCAGAGTGCGGGACCAGGGAGAAATCTCCTGGTTCTAACAATTTTTTACTGGTTTCCTCCCACGCCGTGCAGATTGAGGAGGGGCTGTAGAAGGTTCGCAGGGTTCCGGTTAGAGCGTAGAGGTCACGCCATACCGCTTTCTGGATGAACGATGATTGCGTGAGCAAAGCGAGCTTCGGGAGAAATGCAAGAGATGTCTCCTCTGCGTCTGTGGAAGGGGGGATGGGTGCGAAAGGGAGGGAAACTGGGAAGCTGGAGAGAGGTGCCATGGCTGGCTGCGTTATGACTTGAATTTAGTTGATAGTAATGGGAATATCTAACGTCGGGAAAATTCATTTGTATTTATATTACGAGCATTTTGTCGCATTCGCGAAAGGTTGATGAGCTGAGGTGAGGTTGCTGCAGGAGCTAAATTCTTTCGTGGGGGCAAAGCAGGGCCACAGCTCTGGGGATAGATATTCACTAGTGATGCTGACGGGTCTGTGCTGTGCAGTGTCTTTTAAAGTAAGCCGAAATCTGTGTGGTCAGTTGGCAATGACAAGGGGGCAAGTCGTACGACTTTCTTGATTAGAGTCGGATAAGGGTTAACCCTAAGCATTGCCACAAAATTCGTCGAGGAGAAGGAACGAGGTCCTCCTTTGTGACAGTGCGGTTGTGAATTTTATTCTGGGGAAACTGTAAAGTGGAGACGGGAATCGTCGAGCAAGCTCATTTACAGTCTTCATCCGTCTTCTGCATCTTTTCGTGTGCGCAAAAACACAGGCTGAGTCTACCGGAAGAAAAACGTTCAAAGCACAACGCCGCAAATCAAGAGTCTCGAAGTAACACAACTACCGGCACGATATGCAGCGTCAATTCTCGTCTCTCGTGATCTCCCAGCCTTTTTCGGAAGTCGTCCTACCATATTCGTAGTTAACATGGCGAGCAACTCATTCCCAGCAGTGATCAGCCTCGGCATGCTTTATACCCTTCTCCCAGCTTGAAAACCGCTTCGAACAACCGGGATAGAAGCACTCCCAAGCCTGTACCTTGTCCACCATGATGGTAGAGTGTCGCAGTCGCAGGTGGGTCTTGAGTCCGTTACAAGTGTTCCTGGTCTGGTCGCAGGTGAAACAGTGATACGGAAGCCAATCTGGGTCTGCGAAGCAATGTTCCGGAATCTTGGGTGGCAGGTAGCTTCCGTTCAGGCGCGCTTGGTATTTCTCCTCGTCGACTGAGCGAAGAAGGTTTTGATGTTCCTCCATGCTCGCATATCTCAAGCACCAGTCTGGTTCGAAGGATGAGGCTACCGATGCTTTGGAAGATCCGGCTACTGAGGGGGTCTTCTTCTCTACTGTTTGCTCTCTGGTGAGGGTATCCTTGTCTGGATGTTCCTCGAGAGTTTCACAAGAAGACAGATGATTTGGACCATTCAAAGTCAAACCATCCCTCTCTGGTTTCGCCAAAGATGGACGGTTTGCCCAAGTATGAGGACCAGTTGGGACGTCGTTGACTAGAGGCCAGACGGCCATCACCTGTTTATTGCTATGGCTCAGGATCTTTCCCAAAGGAGTAGGATTATTAATTGCACTGTCTGAGACTTGATTGGTGAAGGAGGAGTTGACCAGAGAATCCATCGGATCCCTAATCTTAGACCACTTGAACTTATCGACGTTACTCGCAGGTGTAGGAGAGGCATCGCGGCTCGGAATGGTAGGTTCTGGGACGCTCTAACAAAAATAGCGTTAGCGGAGAGTGCTTGATAAGTTTTGCAAGAAACAGAGATAGACATTTACCAATTCCTGTTGTGGTGGAAGTTTCAATCTCTTGAGGCTTGTCTCGAGAAAATTGTCTGCTGGTGGCACATGAACTTGGCCCTGAGTTTGAACGTATTTCTCGAGGTCATCAATCAAAGCTCTTTGATGCTGAATCATTTACTTCCACCGCCTTGCAAGATGATTGTCGGCTTCGTTTGCCCGGGTTCTTTTACCAAGCACGGTGCCCTCGCTCGTCTGTGTTGGGATAAATGAACCGACTGAGCCTTCCAGGACATTTTGCCGACCCAAAGATGGCTCCGCGACCTCTTCAAGCTTGATTCTGACCTCTCTCTTGGTTTCAGGCTTGATTCCCACCCCAGAACTCTGCTTCAATCCTTCATTGGTGCCATCGTTTCGGTTGATGGTATTCCTCTCTTGGAAGTTACCATCGAACTGCAGCCTGCTTGTTTCCCTAGAAGATTGTTTCTGCAAATCAGAAGAGTATTTGTTTGGCAATGCCGAAAGGCCTGGATTTGAAGTGTGCAAATTGTCCATGTAGCTCAAATCATCCTCCAGCGAAGTTCGTTTCACAGTCTGCTTCTCTCGGAGCTCTTTCTTCTTCATGGACAGCTTCTCAAGTGCGAGCTTGAGTTCACCTTTAGATTTCTGCGCCAACTGCTCGCGGTTGTTGATGGGAGATTTGATAGGCTGCTGGTTGGCTGGTGGAGACGGCGTAGCTGGTTTCCCAATCGGAGCCTGCCAGGCCATTGTTGGTATATTTTTAAAAGGAGTACGCTTTAGAGTGAGATTCCTTGAGTTACAGCTGCCAAGAGAAGTGGCTTGTGAAAGAGTGCCCTCGGGGTGATAAGATGCGTTTCGTGGATTCTGACTATTTTTATTGTAGTAAGCAATAGAGGGGTTCAAAGACATTTGGGGCACGTTTTGCTGAATTGGAGAGCCTGGAAGCCTGTAGCTACTATTTGTATAGGCTGGCGAATATTGGGGTGTATGTGGCGTAGGGTATGATTAAGGTGCCGCGTAACTGTTCCCCGTGCTGCCGTGAGCCACAAAAGTGTAAGTCGGAGCGCCGTACGATTCCATGGGAGCAGGAGTCGGCATGTTATAGGATGGCATTGGTGCGGAATTTGTTGTTCCATACGTTTGCATAGGTGTAGGAGCGGCCGTGTTATAAGACGGGGGATGTATCGCTGGGGATTGATATGGGACGTAGGATTGCTGGTATTGCATCGTTGAGGAGGGATTATACGCTTCAGGGTATTGTTGAGCTTGTGTATAGGGCGTCGAGGGTCCATAAAGCGAGGACGATTGCGGGTTCACAAGAGACGTTGCAGGAGCCCAATAAGAAGGACCTTGCTGAAAGTGTTTGTTTTGGCTGCCGCGAAAAGCAATTAGCCCAGTACATCTATCCCTGAACGAGATGAAGTGATCTTTGTTGGAGAATCGGGTAGAAGATTCCACATTCGAATGAGTTGGGGAATGGATCCCAGCCCAGCGATCAGATAGGATAACGTACTTGGGAGGATACATGCTGCTCAACTTGAACCATCTAGCCTCTCGCACAGAGCTGGAGAAGACCTGAAGCAAGGATTAACAACAGTCCTCTGAATGATTTAGCGGGGATTGCGTTGATGTTAAAGGGATGATCGCACCAGTGGAGATCGCGATGACGCTTTTGGTGTTTTTGACAAGAGGGAGGCATCGAAAGCGCGTCAGAAGGAAGAGTGTTTACAAAGGCCTGCTTGTGGGAAGGAGCGGAGCTTGCCGTCGCCGATAGTCGGGCCTCCTTTCTGAAGAGAGAGATCTTGAGGAAACACCGTGGAAAATACAACAACGCTCTATAGAAAGACAAAATGCCATGTGATGGAAGAACGACCATTGCTACAGAGTGTGTTCCTGTCCGAGACGATTTCAATCACCAGTTTCGTATCAAAGCGCGTTGAACAAATGGAGCATGTACGCCCATCCTTCCTTTAAGGCGCTCCCATCACGCGATGCCTGCTTCTCGACCCAACCAGCAAGTGAAATCTACCTCACCTGGCTCTAGCATCAAATGGCAGAGTATCGGTGACAGCTGAGATATCGCCATTTTAGGGGTAGGACAACTACTAGACCTTAGATGATAACAGCAATAGCTTTAGCAGCAGTAGCAGAAAAGCAATGATTAACGGTCGTGGTGCTGGGAAAGCAATGATTTCAATGTTCACTTGTTGAGGGGTGGTAAAGGGGGATATTTAGGCGGGGATTCTATGCTGGCAATGCGAACACATTATGCTTGTTTGTCAACTCTACCCGCAAGTGAAATCTGCTGGTACCTTACCCGACTCTAGCATCAATTGGCAGAGTGTCGGTAATAGCTAAGATATGGCCGTTTTGGAAGTTGGACAGCTGCTAGAAAATCTTGACCCTGCGATGAAAACAGCAACCGCTTCGGAAGCAGCAGCAAGGCGGTAATCAACATTCGTGATACTGAAGAACCTTTGCCCAGTATCCATTTGCAGGTCGCTGTTTGCAATCATCACAATGCTTGCTTGTCGACCGATAAAGGGGGATAGGGGCAGATGTACGCAGGGGCCCATGCTGGCAAATGCGAGCACGTGATGCTTACATCTCAACCTCCCTTCGGATGAACCCAACTCCGCAAATGCATCAGCATTCGTCCCACGTCAAGCGACTCAGCCCCAGCATGCATCATGACTCCCCTCCGACCAATTTCAGTGACCTTCGTGAGGAGTTCCGCGTGATTCAAAGTGGCTTCAGACGACGGAAGAATGCGATGGCGGAACAAGCCTTAAACAATAGCTGGTTGACGAACGCCCTCCTCGGCGCATCCCGGAGGAGAACCGAGTCTGATCCATCTACCGCGTCTTCTTCAAGCCACTTGAGCCCCTTCAGATCATCCGAGTCTTCGCATTCGGCTGCTGAAAGCGAGAGGGCACAGTCGGAGGTAACCCCAACGACGATTGCCTCGGGGTCTGATGATCTTGCAGCGCCTCTTCAACCGGCCCATCAATTTGTTGCCGAAAATGGTGAAGGATCATTGGATGGGGGTCTTATACATCAAAGGTCCAGAAAAGGCCACAAAAAGTCCCGTGAGGGATGTTTTAACTGCAAGCGGCGGAAGATCAAGGTAAACATCAGCCTCAAGTTGACGTTCAAGCTGACAACTGGTCCAGTGCCAAGAAACTCAGCCAGCATGTGAGAATTGTACGAAAAAGAACCTCCAGTGCTCCTACCCCGCTCCAAAGACCTTGAAAGCTCTCCAAGGATCACTGCTCTACTCATCAAACCCGATCGCCTCCGTCAATCTGCAAGGTACGCCAACCATCTTCTCCTTGACGGATATGCGGCTTTTCCACCACTTCTTAATGGATGCATACCCACACCTGCCCGTTGGAAATGACTTGGCATGGCTTACTCAAGTGCCCTTAATCGCACATCATGTGAGCTCTCCCTCTTTCATCTCCATCCTACGACTAATGCTCGCCATGCAGAACGCATACCTCATGCACGCCATTCTTGGTATGTCAGCGTCACATCTAGAGCTTCTCACCGGAGAGTCGCTCGGTGCCGTAGCAATCCATCATCGACTACTTGCCGTTCAAGGATCGAATGCCGCACTTTCCAGGAGGGTTCGCACCGGCAGCGATGGTGATGCTCTCTTGGGAGCTTGCTACCTTCTCGCCTTCCAAGCTTCATACATGAAAGATGGCCTCTCCGAGTTCTTTACAATGGTTCGAGGCTGTAGTCTCCTCAGTAATCAATTGAGGGCAGAGAAGTTGCCTATGGCTTTCTTTCTCACAGAAAAGGACCACTTCCAATTCATGGAAGATCGACTTCTGAACCTGCCCGTTATCAGCCCCAAGCTGGTTGAAGGCGCGCAAGCATCGCTTGTAGCCGTACAGCCCCTCTGCGCAATGCCCTCTCAGACCGACTTTTACCAGCTTCTGCACGAATGTGTTGAGGCAATTAAACTGTCTTCGTTGCGCGGTAAGTTCTCTTCGCAGTTGCATACGGATGATTTCTGACCTCCTAGTGTACTTCAAATTTATCTCTATATACCGAGGAATCATCGATATGGATCTCGAGATGTTCCACGAGTTCATGGATCCCAGCAACATCGTTGTGCAGCTGTTAATTGCACATTTCTTTGCTCTCCAGCTTGTCGTCGCACCAATCATCAACCGAGAATGGGCTGGGAGGAAGAGGTCAACCCCGCTCAGATTTCGACTAGATCAGATCTACCAATTGTCGAAAGGTATCCCAGACTCATACAAGAGCCATCTGGCCTGGCCCTTGGCAATTGCAGATGCGGTCATGGACGAAGTAGCCGGCAAGAAACCTCTGGTTCCACGGGTTCCAATACTGAGGAACAAGGAGTGGGCTGATCCTGCGAGTGCTGTTCTGGGATGGTCTTGACAGTACTTCGAAATTACGCCCTTTCATGAGCTTCTAAAAACCCATTTCCCTCTCTCTACTTCTACTTCCTCGACATCTCATACAACAATCCTCTACCTCCTCACCCGAACCAACTTCAGACCCTGCCGCCATCACTGCCGACTACTCGGCCGCCGGAATGGATGCAATTCAAGCACCCATCCCATCACCACTCTCCATCCGCACATCCCCACCCGCCTTCCTTCCCTGCCGAACGAAATATGCTCCTGGAGGCCACACACAGAACACCCCAATAGCCGGCACCATCGGCAGGCTCTCAAACGTATAAAACATCCACTCGTGCGTGAAGGGATACCCGTGGATACCCATCGCGAATTCGATCAGCCTGTACACCGACCTCACCTAAATCCTTCGTCAGCCTTCTTACCCTCTCCACTCCGTCACACCCCAAAACTCTATGGAATCCAACTCACCACAATCAATCCACTCGAGATATACACCGCCCTCAACACTTTCCGCCATCCATCCTCAACCTCAGGCCTGACCTCGCCGCGCCGCGTCAAGACGTCGAACCTCCCCACAACCCCACACAAAAATACAACAGTAGCAAGCTGCACACCCAGCCCCACCATCAAAACATCCACGCCAATCTTCGTCGTGCTTCCTTCCCAGTTCCCAGAACTCGCTATACCACTTCCTGACACCTGTATCAGAAACGTAATGACGTCGGAGATGATGAAAATTTTCGTGAGCTTGCGTAAGGGGATGTAGTGGATGTGTGTGATGTGGCACGGGAGGACGGAGAGACAGAGGCGGGAGAGGAGGAGGTAGTTGCCTGCTGCGACGAAGAGGGGCGCGAGGACTATTAAGGAGGAGGATACTGCGTATGGAGGCTGTTTGTCATCAGTAATCCGCACACAAGCCGGATGGAGAGATGCACTTACGATCTGATCAGGGAGCTTGATAGACACAGCACGAGTGATATATCCAAAAAACTCGAAGCAGACACCGACAAGGATGGGGATGAAGTAGTACGCCTTATACTTAACTATCGTCTGGTAGAACTGGATTATCAACGGAATCAAGTAAATGACCGCAAAGACTATAGCTAGCGGAAAGTGGGTGTCGGAAGGCCAGATGGAGTTTGGATCTGCGTTCGTCATTTTTCTGGCGAGTTCTGAGTTTGGGGTTTGAAAGAAGAAGTCGAATGCAGTTGATGCTCTTCCTTTTGAAGACGGCTCTGAGGCCTTTTATGTCCATCTCTCTTGCTCCAAGGTTTCTCGTTTGTTGAAGGGATTGCGTTGCCTCCCAGTTCCGTGCAAAAATAAGATTCCTCACCCCAATCACATCCCCATCTTGAAGCTTCGTCGACTGCTTTCGCGTTCATCTCTTGTCCTCCTCTCCTCCTCTCCCATCTTCCTCCCATCCCTCATTCTTCCTCGCGTTTAGCTTTACGAAATCCGGTGCCAATCCAATCTCAACATATTATCCACATCTGATTTTCGTACCACGGATTCAAGCTAATGATGATTGGTGCGCCACTCGAGCACTTCTCGCATTCAGCGTATTGCGGGCGTGGCAGGTTCTTGGCAACAGGGGGATCGGGGCGTAAGCATCGGGGGAACTTCACTTTTCACCAGCAAGGCGCGAAGATAGGGTTTTGTGCGCCAATTACTTCGCAGGGGGCTGGAAGCTGCGTTGATAGTGAGTGTGACCTGGGAGTTTATTGGGTGTCGTGAAATCATTGGACGTCAAAGTACGGAGTACTCGAATATTTTCCCAGGTCATAAGAGCGATGTCGTATGGACCAAGGGTCTGTCTACCTTAGCACATGGGATGCCAATTTTTACAATCGGAAATTTTAATTAAACTAAACAGTCCAAATAAGGAATTAATTTACCGCGTCTTTGCTACTCTATTATTGTCAACTTCAATTTGTTCCATTCATTTTCTCTCAGCCAACCATGACGACCGGCAGCTAATGGATTCGTTGAATCCTTTTCTGAATTCGAATTATAGGGCTCGTCGCAAGATGGGGCACGATTTTCGTCTTCGCCAGGACCAAGTGACAATGATAAAGGGGTTGACATTGTGACAATAACAAATGTTTTGCTACGTTTCCAGCAGTTCGCCCAGACCTATCACCACCTAGCCAAGAGTTCGCGACCCATGGCGAAAATATCCTGGGTCATCGGCTCGAAGATATTGAAGGAGAACAGGGGAAAAGACGTGCTCGAGGAATCCGAATTTTGATTCTATTTGTGTGCCCTCCTCCCCCCCCCTCCCTTTTTTTTGACCTTGAAATCGAATGTTGCTTCAGAGAATTCTATGTCGGGTTTGGAAGATCTCAGAGAGACAAATTTGGAATAAGTCAATAAGTGAGCCCGAGAAACAAGTGGACCATTGGCTGGTTTAAGCAGTACTTGAGCTGCGAGCAAAGGGATGCAGAGGATTTGACATAGCATGTGTATGACGTCGATGCCTTGATGGCAGATCACATGGCCCTCTGCACACAGCTTGCTTTGGTTATTAGCAAATACCGAAACAATGAAACGATGAAGTACTTGAGCTAACAGAGGTTGCGAGTTTGCTAACATAACAAAGAATTGGTTTTGTCGATTGTCTTACAACCGCCACAAAGCTTTGTCAGATGCAAACGGCTGGGTCTGACCAGACTGTATTTAATCCCTCCCGCAAGCCACTCACATTAATCGTAAAGTCAGTTCTCTTTGTTCTTGCTGTCTGGTTAATTAAATATATCATTCCATTGAGCAGCAGGTTCCTCAGTGCTAAGGACTCAACCGAGCAAGCCCCTGACTTAAGAAAATCCTCCAATCCTTACTCGACTTTTCAACACTTCCTCTTAGTTAACCAATCAAAGATAATATAAGAAGTCAAGCACCGTGGGGGAAGATTCAGTGAATGATTGAAAACCCAACATTACTGTTTTTCAGCTGCCCTTCAAGTGGGTCTTGGTCCGCCCGATCACAACTTGACAGGAGCTTATGTTTGCACATAACAACTAACACCTATATACATGAAAGTAAGCGAATAGAGAAGACGGGCTAAAGGAAACCAAGAACGCGACTCACATTTACGGTACTTCACATGGACTTATTTGTCAGTTGTAGTGAAAGGAAAAGCAGCAAATCCGAAGGTCAAAGGAAGATTGCTAGTAGCATCACAATTTAGTTGCTAAAGTCAAAGGAAAAAATATATATATATATATCCGCGAACAGGATTAACAAACTTCCAGGTTTGGTTTTGTGGGGTCTTACTCTCCGTTGTCATATTGGAATACTGTTTTCTTAATTTCCAGAAGGGACGAGGCTGTCAACAACGAGGCTGACAGTCGGTAATTTATTTAGTCACGGCGGCTTTTCCCTCCGGGTACCGCCCCCTAAATTTCAAGAACGAAACAGCTTAATTCTGGTTTATTTAACGCTCATTGGACAATTGTCGAATTTGGCATGCCATTTTCAAGTGTACTTCAAAACAAGCACAAACCACAACAGATCCAACAACCACAACAACCACAACAACCACAACAATAAAATCTCCTCTCCGGAGCGCAAGTTCTTTTGCATTGTACCTACCATTTCAGAACATTCAAAACACACTCAAAGAGCAATATGCCGAGCTCTGCGATTATCAAGCAGCCTACCTATCAAATAGGTACGCTATTTAAGGATCGAACAGAAACGAATGACCTCGAAGCCTTGGGACGAGCCGAAAAATGCCTCAAACGCCTTGAGGGCACTCGAGCCAAGGGCCATGAAGACGAAGACGAGGGCAAAGACGATGGCGACACCTCTCCAGAGTCAGCCAAAGACATTGACACTGGTATAGCCGAGGATAACGGCGATGCTACTTCTATTCCTTCTACAACTAACTCCATACCCCTCGTATCGCTGCCACTTCAATTGCAATACGACGAGAAATTGAAATGGAAAAAGGGAACAAAGCCTGAAGGCAAGAACTGGGCATGGAGCGGAGTAGGATTCCCTGACGACCCATCCATAATAATCGAGCCTTTTGAAGAAAAGACGTACATCAACAACCAAGACCCCGCAGTCATACAACTTGCTCAAGACATCCTGGATATCAAGAGCAAACCTTCCTCCAGCATCGCAGACTCTGATTTCAAGTCAGAGACTGCCCTACACAGAACGATCGAGACCTTTAATCTCCACAACAGAGTGGTGGTAAAAGCGATATTCGATGAAGCATCCGTGGGTGAGGGTGGATACTCAAATTTGAGTACCTGCAAGGCATTTGAGGCAGAAGTCAACAAAGGAGTTGGGCTTCAACCAGATGTTCGTCTCGAACAATATATTGCAGCACATATCCTGCTCTGTACGGGCGGCAGTGTAAGTCCCTTCCAATTTTGAAACCGTATTGTGACGTTCCCCCATTGCTATAGTTTCAAGTAATTGCTGACTCTCTTGTTCCCCAGATTGGCGGGAAAACGAATTATCTATGGCGAAAGGCTCGCAGTCTAGCCCAACAACAACTCCATCTCAATCCAAAGTTGGCAGAAATTGCAGAAGAGCAGTTAATGGCAGATAAAGACCCTGCACTTGAAAAGATGCTGAAGATTGCCAAGAGAGCAATCCCCAATAGCTCCTCCAACTCCTACCACCAGAAAAGAAGAGACCAATTTGCGGTTGACAACAGCGTATTCTATTACATCAGGAATGCCGATATCGTGATGGTGTTAGACAAAAACACTAATGTTATCAGCTTCCAATGCAACTACGCTATCCGCCAGTTACTTGGTAAAGTAATTCAACAAATGATTATAGATTCCTTTGAGAAGTACAGCACTCTGGCTGCAGTTCCTCTTCCAGATATTACCAGACACGGCCTTCATTGGACGGATTTCTTGCCGCAGAGTTCACAGTTCGACCCCAGAAACCCTGACGGCGATATTCGGAAAGCGAAGTCTGGTGTCTACCATTTTGGCGGCCATTGTGCGACAGCCGATTGGAATGGTAAAAGATTTGGGGTAACACCAACTGCCGACTCTGGTGAGAGGTTGACTCAATGGCCTCATGTTGCGCAGCAGCAAGAGCATCTCCGGTACAGCGCCTTGGGAGCTTGCATTGAAGTTCTTAAATTCTTCTTTCGGCTTCTGGACCCGGAGCTCCTAGAGGAATACGAGAAGGTCGCTCGTGAGATTGCGAAGCTCGAGAACATCCCCTTCCAAACTAGGCGAGATATCGATCCCTTCATCATCAAAGCTCTATTGGTTAATGTTATGACGAATGAGCACAAGGATCTGAGCGATTGGAAATTCGGGTTTGCAGCCTTGGTACCTGTTGGTGATTTCACAGGAGGAGATTTACTTCTGCGGGAATTGGGCCTCCGAATTGAGGCACCATCTGGATGTATTCAGTTCATGCGTGGTCGTGAGCTGGCACACTCTATTGCAAAATGGGAGGGTAGACGATTCGTTGTTGTAGCTGCGACTCACGAGGCTGTTAGGCGCTTTGCCCAGGAGCAGATGGAGAGTACGCCAGAGGGGAAATTGCCGTTACAGCGCGGAAGAAAACGAGACCACAAGGAGGTTGATTGATTCCGAATTCCACAAATAGCACAGCTAGATACCATGAACCCCTTCCGTGTCAACAGCTGAGGCGTGTATTACCACACGATCTTTGTACTCCTGTGACTGTAGTCAGACCCCTAACCCAGATGTTTCCTAGACTCCATTCCAACGATACGATGTTCCAAATCGAAAAAAAGCTTGCAAGTCTTCCACTCAAGTCCACCTTGAAACCACGTCCTATCTCAAATGATTGGAAAGAAAATCAGTGTGCCCCTGCCAACCCCTGCAACACCCCTGTTTTGCTCGCGTAGCATTCCTAAAACATGGGTGTACGCCCAAAGGGGAAATAACAGGAGGCCAACTCTGATTAGAATGCATAAGCATCCTCTCTGGGTAAACCCTAGAACGGGTGCTTATGCCATTGAGAATTAAATTCCCTTCTAGCCCCCTTCCCCCGCATTTCGCAAGCTAATTTTATAATTTTATCATAAAGTAAGGCTTTCTTTTTCGGCTATTCTTTAGCACCCGGCACGCGTACAAAAGGTGGGCAAGACGCACGTCCCTCTGTCCCTTACTTGTAATCGCTTAGGAAGTATATCCTCAAGGATATACATACGCTTCCTATCCCTTCATCCGGCGAGACATAGTCCACGCTAACAAGGGGGCCTGGCTCAGACTGTAAAGTCGTACCTTTGCTTAAAAACTTATTAGTCATCCATCGCCTTTTCGTCCTGAGCCGGGCCCCCTTACTAGCATGGACTATGTCTCACCGGACGAAGGGATATGTGTATATACGCTCCTGTGAGGCGCCGAAGGCGTCGAACGTCGTGCCCCTGGCCTCCTAAGCTCCTAGTATTAGTAGAGAATATACTTTAAATATAGATGTGCTTTATATACAGTTGTGCCCCACACGCCGTAAGGCGCCGAAGGCGCCGAACGGGGTGCCCCTAGCCTATTAAGGTCCTAATATTAGTAGAGAAATAAGCTTTAGAACTCCCAGAACTAGCGCTCTGTCTAGTTACAATATTATGTAGTGACCAATCAAAAGATATCCCATGTGATTGAAAAGCAAAGCCAAATTGCTATTGATTCAGTAATCCGTGCTGCTTGTCGTTGTCAAATACTTCACATCGTGATTTTTCCAAACAACACTCAGCATCAAGACTGGATAGTATCTCATCCCAAGCAGGGTAGGGTATAGTGCAAACTGCGGTTTCAGACTACAGTGCAGATTTCTATTATCAAACTGCGGTGCGATTTAAGTACACTAAACTGAGGCATCTCTCCACTAAACTAAACCACGAGTTATATTCTCAAAACCGCGGTTTAAACTGCAGTTTGACTAGTTTACACGTGACTTTACCCGATTACACCAGCTTCAATACCAATAATTTTCTCTAACTGCTCTGACTCGGCTTCCCATCCTTTGGGAGTCTCGATTGAGCCTTTGGAGGCATCGTTTCGTAGTGGTTAATTAACAGGACGCGTTTTGATTGGGCTGAGTTCAAGAGAGGCTGGAGTTGGAGAAAGTTTCTCTTCCGGAGCCGGAGCGAGAACTCGGTAAATAGCTTCAAGAATTCCCGGTTAAGCGCACAAATATATTTCCATAATTAGCACACCTATAATTAAGATTATTAATTCATTTAAAAGCCCTAGATTTACCCTTTCCAATAATAAAAGAGTTATTTAATTATATTGAGGTTTAAGTATTTTCTATTTACTATAAGTCCTTGACATCCTTAGGTAATTTTAAGCGAGACTACCCCTTAAACAGCGGTTGGACCACACCCACTGCGGTGCAGTATATCTTCCGCTAAATTAGACTATAGCTACACTAGACCGCACCACTGCAGTGGCACCGCGGTGGCACTGGACTGAGGTCACACTATTCCCTACCCTGATCCCAAGGGTATTTCTCACCTACGCTAGAACGCAATCTACTAAGAACTCTACCCGTATACTTTCAATAAAAGGGCTTAGATTTAGAGCGGACCAAGGTATCTCCGAGTAGCTCTCTTCATATCTATTAAGTTATTGCAATAGAGGGGCTTCAAGGCTTAAATCAAGTATGTATAGCAATACCACTGTTACACTATTCAAATAAGTAGAGGGCATGGACGTCGAGTTGGAGTTCTGAATAATGTTGCCAGAAATCTCCAAAAGTCTCTCTATATGCTTACAATAGCTAATAGTCGAAGCATTGTTAATGATAATCGGCAAGCCGTCGAGTTGGTAGAGACCGGACAGCCCCATGTATTAGTACAATTTACTATACGGATATATATTCGGCCAATCAAGCTTACTTTGCCAACGTTTCTAACTTTCCCGCGGTCGATACTAGCCATTCAAATGGCAAAACGGCGGAGGGTTGCATCGAGTATACTTCACTAATTATTTAGCTACTCTTCTCTTTATAATAATCTCTAATTATAATTTTTATAGGTTCTTTACCTCGAAGAGTATAGACCTTAATAATCGAATAAGTATTAGAACTCTCTTCTTTATTTCTTAGTAGCTTTAAAGTCTATAATATATTATAATTAGTACGCGAAAAATTAAAAATTAAAAATTATCTTAATTAATATATATATAATTATAATATATAAGTAGCTAGCCTTATTAAATAAGAATCTTGCTTTAGAATTATTTTAATAAGCTTTTTTCTTAATTATTTAAATAAGAAAATAATATTAGAATAAGAGCTTTACTTAATTAAATTAGTATATTATTATAACAAGTCGAGACCCGATTTATATACTTGGCTAGAAGCCTATACTAGGTTATATAATATGCCTCCTTGAGTTAATAGAAGAACTATATATTACTTAGAGAGTTCGGATACCTTAAAGAATATAGTTCTATTTCTCTTATTTTTCTTTTTCTTTTCTCTTTAGAGAATTCTATTTAGTTAATCGAACTACTAGTTTTCTTTATATAAAGGCCTGGCTTATAATATTAGAATTCTCTCTTTCTTATCTTTACTAACTAGAGATTATATATATATATATAAAGCTAGAAATAGACTTTATTCGAAATTACTTATAAAGCTAATACCTTAATAAAAGTTTGGAATATATAAAAGCTAGTAATAAGAAGTACCCGAAATTATATATAGAAACCAGAGTATTAACTTAACTAGTTAATACTAGGAATTATTTGGGTTTTTCTAAATTTGATTTAAAAAAGAAAACTACTAGATTTCCCTATTATATAAAGATTTAGGAGTAAGGCTTCTAGTAATTAGTATGAGAGGGAAACTATAATAAGACAAAAACCCACATAAAGTATACTAGAATACAAAACGTAACTTAATAGTAAAATAATAAATTAAAAGCATAAATAGTAAAGTATAAATAGTATATAGTATATAAAAGCTTAATTAATTAAATATTTATAAAGAATTATTCTCTAAGTCTATAGAAAAACTAGCTCTCTTATATAATTTCCGCAAGTTATATATAAAAGGCCATAGTCTTTATTATATAATTTAAATCTCAAAACCGCTAAAATAATATAATTTTTAATAAATATAGCCTGCTATACTATATCCGACCCCCTATTTATTTATACTTATTCTCTAAATACTAAAAATAATAGAAAAATCCTATTTAGAGTTCGAAATAATAAAATATTTAGGATCCTCTTTTATTAATTAATCTAATTTCTTCTCTATATACCTAAAATAAGACTTATTACCCTTAAATAGTCTTATTTCATATTCCTGAACTTGCTTAAAAGTAATCCGAATCCGCTTAGCCATATTCTTATACTAAGTCCAATATAGTTCTTTATATTAATTAGTATCTGCCTTTAATTATTACTTAATTTCCGCCTTTATTATAGGGTATTAAGGAGGCTTATTATAGTAAATCATATTATAAATCATACTAATATACTTTAAATAAATAGCTTTTTCGAATTTTGTATTATTTATAGTATTCTTAAATTAATCTTTAATAAAAGGAGAAAGCTCTAGATAAGAGGCTTTAATAACCTTATAAAAGACTTTATTTTCGCATATTCTATTCTTAATAGTAACTAGACTTATTAGAATTATAGTAAAAGGCCTATTAAGTAGTAAATTATTATTAAGTTATTATTTAACTTATATATTATTCAAGAATTAATACTTTCCTATAATTCCAGACTTATAGATTATCTAGCTAAAGATATTTATTTATCTAGTTAAATAGACTATACTCGGAGTTTTTTCTTTTATTATTTTTAGTAAATACTTGCCTAATTTCTTAGCTATTTCTGGCTCAAATTTATTAGAAATAGAGGAATAATTAATGTCTTTAAAGAACTTCTTACTAAAGGTAGCGGCCTTCTTATAGTCCATAAGAAAAATATAGCTAATATTCTAATATTCTTTACTAAGGTAGAATTTGCTTCTTAAAGCTTTAGTAATAGCTAGATCTTTAGTATTACCTTTATACTAATTATAATTAATATTTCCAGAAGTAAAGTATCGGGCTAGCTAAGAGTAAGTAATTAGATAAATAGGATACTTACTTAATATCTTATAAAATTCGAGTTATATTAATAGATCTACTATTAAAAGTTAAGAGATTAAGATAAAGTAGCTATTACTAAGATCTCTATATATTAATATATTATCTTTTTAGAAATAAAACTATAGTATCTCTATTTCTTTTATTAAGAGCTCTTAAATACTAAGCTTCTTAATTTATTTTAGGTAATTCTTTTTATAAATATATCTATTAGTACCTAGATTAGTAATACTAGACTCAGAAATAGAGACTATAATATTAAATTAGAGCTATAGATTAGAGCAGAATTAATTAGAAATATAGTACTTATATTTATATTTCTTAATTTCCTGGTTTTTAAAGAAAAAATCCCGTAGTTCCTTATTTACCTAAATAATAGAAATATATTTCTTGCTTTTAGTAACTTTATAGATCTTAATAACTAGCTTTAGAGTATCCTTAATCTCTTATATATTAATAGAGAAAATATTAGTAAGTTACTAAATATATATTATATAGGAAGCTTTAAGGAATTCATTATTAATCCTATAGTATTCTCGCTTATAAAT